CGAGGTTCGAGGTCCGAGGTCCGAGGTCCGAGGTTCGAGGTCCGAGGTTCGAGGTCCGAGGTTCGAGGTCCGAGGTCGGTCCGAGGTCCGAGGTCCGAGGTCCGAGGTCCGAGGTCCGAGGTCCGAGGTCCGAGGTCCGAGGTTCGAGGTCCGAGGTCCGAGGTCCGAGGTCCGAGGTCCGAGGTCCGAGGTCCGAGGTCCGAGGTGCGAGGTCCGAGGTCCGAGCTCCGAGGTTCGAGGTCCGAGGTCCGAGGTCCGAGGTCCGAGGTTCGAGGTCCGAGGTCCGAGGTCCGAGGTCCGAGGTCCGAGGTGCGAGGTCCGAGGTCCGAGGTCCGAGGTTCGAGGTCCGAGGTCCGAGGTCCGAGGTTCGAGGTTCGAGGTCCGAGGTCCGAGGTCCGAGGTCCGAGGTCCGAGGTCCGAGGTCCGAGGTCCGAGGTTCGAGGTCCGAGGTCCGAGGTCCGAGGTTCGAGGTCCGAGGTCCGAGGTCCGAGGTCCGAGGTTTGAGGTCCGAGGTCCGAGGTCCGAGGTCCGAGGTTCGAGGTCCGAGGTTCGAGGTTCGAGGTTCGAGGTCCGAGGTTCGAGGTTCGAGGTCCGAGGTCCGAGGTTCGAGGTCCGAGGTCCGAGGCAAAGTTTCAGTGCATTTGCTATCCGTCAAAATAAAGTGCCTCTGACGCTACAAGGGTGTCATGAACTATTAACCATGATTCATTTCATCACGGGTAATAACAATGAACTATTAACCATGATTCATCTCAGCAATCATATATCTTTATTGAACCAGCAATCAGTATGCAATTCCCCGCATCATATTCTAACATTTTCACAGTTATATAACCGTACTGTCATGCATGATGATGTTGATTGATAGTACGGTTAACTGTGAAAATGTTAGAAAATGATGCAGGGAATTGCATACTGATTGCTGGTTCAATAAAGATATACGCTTGATGAGATGAATCATGGTTAATCGTTCATGGTTATTACCCATGATGAAATGAATCATGGTTAATAGTTCATGACACTTTTGCAGCGTCAGAGGCACTTTGGCAGCGCCTTAGGGTCCTGGTTATTTTGACGGATAGCAAATGCACTGAAACTTGACCTGTGGTGGTTTGCAGTAAAAGCCAACATTGTTAATGTAACCAAGATCACCAAATTCAAAAAATACGGGAGTCCGCCTTCCCCGGGTTTAGGCCCTTTAGGCGGACTCCCCCCTGGAAATCAAAAAAAAGGAAAACATGTCCAACATGGGATACGTCCAACATAAAGCCTATGGCCCCAACGCTAGCTTTGCTACACATTTGTGGACATCTCAGCAGATCCAACATAGACCAACATATAGGCCCAACATAGCAGATCCAACATAGACATAGACCCAACCAAGACCCAGGATCATGGTGGCAGATCCAACATAGACCCAACATGGAGGCGAGGTATGGACAACATCTTGGCAAGGAAGATCCAAGTGGACACAACATAGACCCATGTAAACCAACAGGCTCAACATCCATGCAAGGCAGGAAAAACACAGAAACATCTTGGAAAAAAAAAGCTGGTTTGCTCAGAAAAAAAGTTGGTTTCACCACAGATTGTCCCTTAGGTTCGAGGTCCGAGGTTCGAGGTCCGAGGTCCGAGGTTCGATGTCCGAGGTTCGAGGTTCGAGGTCCGAGGTCCGAGGTCCGAGGTCCGAGGTCCGAGGTCCGAGGTCCGAGGTCCGAGGTCCGAGGTTCGAGGTCCGAGGTCCGAGACCCGAGGTCCGAGGTCCGAGACCCGAGGTCCGAGGTCCGAGGTCCGAGGTTCGAGATTCGAGGTCCGAGGTCCGAGGTTCGAGGTCCGAGATCCGAGGTCCGAGGTCCGAGGTCCGAGGTTCGAGGTCCGAGATCCGAGGTGGCAACGCGGCGGCAACATCCATTGTCAAGTTCGATCTCAAAGTGTGGAGTGTGGAGTGTGGTGGAGTGTGGGGTGTAGAGTGTGGAGTGTGGTGGAGTGTGGGGTGTAGAGTGTGGAGTGTGTAGGAGTGTAAAGTGTGGAGTGCAAAGTTTAAAGCGTGGAGTCCAAAGTGTAAATTGTGGAGTGTAGAGTGTAAAGTGTAGAGTGTGAAGGGGGAGTGGAAAGTGCAAAGTGTAAAGTGTAGAGTGTGGAGTGAGGAGTGTAAAGTGTAAATTGTGGAGTGAGGAGTGTGGAGTGTAAAGTGTGGAGTGTAGAGTGTGGAGTGGAAAGTGTCGAGTGTGGAGTGTGGCGTGTAGAGTTTTAATTTAAAGTGTGGAGTGAGGAGTGTGCAAAGTGTAGAGTGTGGTGGAGTGTAGAGTGAGGAGTGTGCAAAGTGTAGAGTGTGTGGAGTGTAGAGTGTAAAGTGCCACCCTTGCCACGCAAAACGACATGACAACCTGCTTGGAAACCTTCGAAAAGGAGAGATTTTGCAGCTTCCCCCATAGACACGGCGACGCTACAGGAAAACCAGAGACTTGAGACGAGAGATGTGGGAGCATCAAAACGAGCCTTTCGTGCGAGACTTCCTCCAATTTTCACACTTTGTATATAGCTTCAAAATTGACGTTTTCCTGCGAGTTTTCGTACGAGCCTTTAAATTTGTTACCTCAAAATCGATGTTTCGTGGGAGGCATCCGTCAATTTTCAGCACATCTCACAAAATGCCACGTCTGCCACGGAATCTGCACCTTGTCGCCACTTGACGCAGCCCTGCCAATGCGATTCGTAAAAAACACGCAACACGACGCGTCTAAAGTGCTGCGCCTGCTACGCAAAATGACGATGGACACGTCCAAAGTGTTGCGCCGGCCACGAAAACTGCAACGCATCTTCTGAAAACGTCGCAAAAGTAGTGCGCCTGCCACACAAAATGACTTTCGACACGTTACAAAACACGTCTGAATGTGACGAAGTGCCACGCCTGCCACGCGAAACGCAAAAATTAGCCCTTCTGGAGAACTTACCAGAGGCACGGCCATATAGCAATCGCGCGGACGGTTGCGAGTGGTTGCGGACGGTTGGGCAACGGGAACCCTTGCTTCGGGAAAGAAAGGGAAAGGAAGGGAATGGAAGGGACAGGAAGGGAAAGGAAGGGAAAGGAATGGAAAGGACGGGAAAGGAACGGAAAGAAAGGGACAGGAAGGGAAAGAAAGGGAAAGAAAGGGAAAGGAAGGGAAAGGACGGAAAAGGAAGGGAAAGGAAGGGAAAGGACGGGAAAGGAAGGAAAGGAAGGGAAAGGAAAGGAGATGCTGATTTGGAAAGCAGCCGCCGTCGCATGACCGTGCTCAAATGAGCTTGCTTGGCTATTGCGCACTGTCACTCAATGTTTCCGCGCAGAGCTGAAATTACTTTACTTCGAGTTATCCCCACCATGACATCTACACGTTTTGTTACTGGCAAATCTTCTGGCATTCTATCTGACATATCTTCTGGCATTTTATCTAGCATATCTTCTGGCATATCTTCTGGCATTCTACATGGCATATCTTCTGCAATATGTTCTGGCATATCTTCTGGCATTCTATCTGACATATCTTCTAACACTCTATCTGGCATATCTTCTGGTATTCTATCTGGCCGTTGAGGTCCAGCAGTGCACGCAGAGCTGGGAAGGTCCCAGGTTGAGGTCCAGCGGTGCACACTGAGCTGGGAAGGTCCCAGGTTGAGGTCCAGCGGTGCACACTGAGCTGGTTTGGTCCCAGGTTGAGGTCCAGCCGTGCACACTGAGCTGGTTTGGTCCCAGGTTGAGGTCCAGCGGTGCACACTGAGGTGGGAAGTTGGCAAAGAGCTTGGCGAAGAGTTGGCAAGGCGGAAGTTGAGGTGGAAGTTGATGCAGACATGATCGAGGAGAAACTGGAGGAGGAGGCAGAGGAGGAGGAGAAGGCGGAGGACGAGGAGGAGGAGGAGGACGAGGACGAGGAGGACAGCTAGCCGAGGAGAACAACTCTGATAAAATCTAACAACCCTCACCTGGCAGGTGGGGAAAAATGAAATTTGCAGTGAATGCGTCCATAATGTTCATCTTCTAAAAAGAAGCTGGCAAGAGGCGAAAAAGAAATAAACCAATTATCAGTATTACTCAAATTTGTTTGCTGTCGTTTTGCTTTTGGGTTCTCAGGCCCCCCCTTGTTTTATTCTTAAATGGTTCACATACAATATGTATAAAGGATAAACCTATATTGATGATATAAACTTTGTCACCACAAAATTCTAGAATGCTTGAGGAGCTACAGAAAGTATATTTTAATGGAGCCTCTTGCTCTTAATTCTGGTGGACTTGAGACTAGAATTTCATCATTGAAGCAATCCTTGATGGAAGTAACATAGGATTGCCATGGCCTGTTTTGTTTGCTATTTGCAACCCGGTACACCGACCAACATCAATCACTAGGTCTTCAGATGGCCGGAATCCGAATGGGGAGCCTTTCCAAGGTGTGACAGAACGGATACTCTTGATATTCAGAGCCCACTTATGCAACTTAGCCCCAAAATGGGTGTGTAACATGTTTCTGGCTGTGGGACCAAAAGTGTTGATTTTCCATGATGGGATCATGACATTGTTTCAGCTCAGGGAAACAAGCTCAGAGTAGGGCTTTTACGGTGGATATGATGGGATTATATCCCAACTTTTACGGTGGTTTGTTTCCTGCATTTGCTGAAGATATCGTTTCCTGTAGGCCAATCCACCATGTGTGGAATCTATTGACTATAGCTGATATACTTATATACTTATATATTTCATGAATTTCAAGGTCCTCGTATCGGCAAATCCAGTAGAAACTACATTCCATATTTTTCCGGAATGATTTTTGTCATATCAAGTTATGCCTTATACATGATATATATATATATATATTACATGATGTTATATTCACATAATATCACATAATTACAAATAGTATATATCATCCATATATCACTATATCATATATATCTATTATTATTATTATATCACTATCTATATATCATTATCTCACTCAGATTTTGTCACCCATTGGTTGTGCCTCGAGGCCTGCCCATGGCACTATAGCTCTCGCCGCCAGCTGGCGCAACTCTGGACGCACGAGAGTCTGCGGATCTACGAAGATCGGCTGGGCGACGCAGGCGGCCGGGAAAGAATCAGTGGCCATTTCAGGAACCGATTTATTGGAGATACCTACCATATATATATATACATATATATATATATATGTATGTATATATATATATATGTTCATATATATATATATATATGTGCATGTCCATATATAAGGTCTATGTCAGGGCTAAATTTCAAGGGACTTGCCAAAAAAAATATGGCTTTCATTTCAGATATGCTTTCATTTGTGTAAGACTTTTTATGGTACAGTAGCTCCATTTTAGGGTCCTGAAAGGGATGCGAGTAGTGAATTTAAGCAACACACATTGACTGTTAAGGCAGGGGAAGAGAGCCAACTTGTTGTAGCAGCTTGCCAATGCCTGCGACCTGACTACGGAATGTCAGAAACTTACTTTGGGGTTAAGATAGATTGAGCATCGAAATAACAACTTTGAGCTAAGAGGAATTGATTGGTTTTGACGCTGACAATGTGGGGTTTTAGTAACAAAAAGTGTTGGTTTCAAAATATTGGGCAACAAACAGTGGGGTTTGCGTAACCTTCGACATAATATCATATTAATACTATGGGATTTAAGCACCAGTGGGGTTTGATCCTCAAAATATGGGATGCAAGCACCCTCCAGCTGGCTTTTTTCGCGAGCAACGTGGTTCGTTGGGAATAAGGGATTTCTAGAACACAAGGTATGACCCTGACCCCGTCCTTGTTGGTAGCAGCTGGGAAGGAACTTTGGCATTCAGGCGCTGTGTGTCGCTTTGTGGTAGGTTAAGGCTGGTCAGGAAAAAACCAGAGATCAAATTTCTGATATGACCCAGGAACGGAGTTCGCCAGAGTTCGTCGGAGTTCGTCGGGGTTCGTCGCGGCCGAATTTGCTACGTGAAAATGGCGTTGCCAAAGTGGAAAACTGGTTATAAAAATGCGATTTTACTTTCTGCGTGCTGTTTTTCCATGCGTTTTAGGGGCGAAAACGTCAAACCGGAAATGTTTGGACATCTTTGCGCGCAAGGTTAAGTTCATCGGAGTTTGTCGGGCTTAAAGTTTTACAGACTGCGTAAAGATCTTTACCAAAAGTGTCACGCATATTCTTTCCAAGGCCAGATTGAAACTGGAAATTCTTATTGTTCTGCTGGTCCACCTGGTTCAGTCTTATGCATTTCGGCAGACCTTATTCCCTACGAACCCGCAAGCTCGCGAAAAAACCCACCTCCAGCCCTTAATATGGGAGTCAGCCTACAAGAGTCAACGAAACATGACCAGTGAATCCACCGTGCCCTAAGTTTTAACCCATGCTAAATAGGTAGATGTGGATCAAAATTTGAGCCCAAAATAATTTGGTGTACTCCGTAAGGGCAAATTCAAATAAATTCATACGGAGAACTGATGATCAAACACGGGATTTTCATCGAATTTTAAGAGTCCACCATTTTGGACAACGCCAAAACACGGATGGATTGATTCTATGGGCACCAAGGAGTCCATTTTGACCATTTTGACCATTTTGACAGGCCACCATGTCCCAGTCACCATTGAGTCATGTATACTTCGTAACCAATTTGTTTACCCAAAGACATGATATTATTAAATTTATTATTACTGTACATACTATTTAAAATTTATAATATATATATATATGTTTTATTGCTTGCCAGCTGAACAGTTCCGTCTATAAAACCATGGACAAAAGACGGGGCCTTGTTGCTAGCCACATCCAACGGTTCTTCGTTCGCCGTTCCCCCTATACCGCTGGAGGCAGACACAAATTTCGAGAACTTCTCGCGAAACTCTTGAATCTCGACCAGTTTGGAGAATATTTCTGTTGTTTATGGATGTTTATGGTGGACTGGATCAAGGTGAAGGGAGCATATCCAACTTGCAAAGGAACCATATTTTCACAAGACCAAACTAGCAGGGTCCCAGGCTAAGCAGGGTCTGAAGTATGTTTGGAATCATCCCCGCACCCCACTTCCCCCCAACCCCGCTTCTTCGGTTGCCCACATGTTCGAGACAAAGTGGGGAGGCTCACCCACCAAAAGTCTGGATTGCCCGCCCAAATTCGGGCATGGATTTACCCTTTCAGAATTGGCTAAGCGGTTACTTTGGCTCAAAGTTTGACATTTATAGATTTCATTGGAACCTAAACCTATGGATTTAAGTGTCTGATCCATCTTCAGGGCCGTGGATCCACATACAGAGGAGGCATTTGGGTGTTCTATTTGGGGTGTCAACTTGCTCAGAACATAATGATATCCAGAGCGCTGAAAGGATCTTAAGCCTTTTTGGTATAGATATCAGTGCGTCATATCACGAGTAGGTTAAAGACTCACATCGCTTGCAAATAGAGTCCATCTTCAGTTGCTTAAATCATTATCAACTTCACCGAATCACCAAACATCGCAGACACCATACCGAGTAATTTATTTTGTTTCTCATGTATTTTATGTTCATTGAACAATCCTATCGTTGAATCCCGTTACAGAGTATATTCAACATTTCAGACTTTCCATTGCTTAAAAGTGACTAGAGTTCATGGTTTACCTAGACCCTCAAAATAACCCATATAGAAATATACACCCCAGAATCTCTATACCAACTAAGGGTCAAGTTTTACATATTCTAGACAAACCTATGCTCCATGTATGGTATATTGAATATTTGCCTACAAAACTGTGTTATATTTGGGGCATTTGTCGGTACATATGCCATACACATTGAGCACACATTCAGGCATTTGCCACAGGCTATCATGTGGGAGCTTCAATTCGTAGCGCAACTTTTGGGCAATTTGCATTCAATTTCTTACAAGTTGCGATATTTCCTTAGCAAGCACACTATAGCACCTCATGATCCACCTGGGTAGCCGGTATCCCGTATATATCTCCCACAGCCACTGCGCGCCTTGAGGCCCAGCCACTTCGGCTTGGAGCTTTCGCTCAGCGGCCAGGGCCCGGTCTTTGGCGTCCAGATGGACTCGCTGCGCTACCAGAACTTCGATGACCAGGACGCGGGCGAGTCGTGAAGGGAGACGCTGGATGTGGCTGTTGACTTTTAAACAAAAACGTTCAACACATAAAACAAGAGCTCATGAAGCATAGATATATCATATGATCATATGATATATATATATATATCTACCATATATCCGATATAGCGATGGTTCGCCCAGTTTTTTCCAGCTGACCATCTATGATGACGTCCTATATAAGGTGAAAACCTCCGGAGATGGCGAAAAAATCGCAGGAGATGAACCCTGCACAAGCCTTTCAAGAAGCGATCAATGAGCACAATGCGCTGCTGGAGCCAGGTAGGGGAGCAGTGGCTAAACCCAAACTCCCTGTTGGTTGATGATGATAGAGAGCTATATTGGGAAATCCGTTCTTAACCAACAAGTATATATTAAAGGACGACATTTCGGGTTTTGAACACTGCTTATGTGTGCTTTTTTCCATGATTTATCTTGATTCATAGTGGTGATTTAACAATTGAGACTCATTAAGCATGTGATTCAAACAACACAAATGCTTGTACAATGGGGATTGAATGGGGATGAGGATGAGGATGATGTTGCTGATAATGATGATGGTGATGGTGATGATGACATTGCTCTCCAATCTATTTTGAACATTTATAATGACATCACGTCTATACGAATGATGGTACGGATTGGGGGTAACGGTCCCGAAAGTACGTAGCCTTATTTCAGGGTGGTTTATTATTCATATCATCTAGGCGTTACAGGAACATCAAGGAATACAATGGGGTTGTTTAATCGGTTTAGCGGGGACATTTAGGGCGATAAATTGGAGATACAGTACGCGAATTCTACATCGAAACCTGACTAGGTGAGGAGTGAGGAGCTGATTATTCTCTTCTACAGATTGGAACATAGCCAGCTAAAATAGCTAAGTTGTTGGAAGAGTATCAGGATCACCTTGTAGATATTTTGATTGGGCAACCATGAAGACATTTTGAGTCAAGGGATAACAAGGACATGGATTCAACCATGAACGCATGGATTTTAGCAAAGCAACACAAGTGAGGTGTGTGGCTGTAGCCTTCCAGTGATTAGATTTGAGCAACCACCACGAGGGTTTATATACTGTAGCCAACAACACCTCCAGGGACTAAATGGCACAAATGTCAGTCTGTAGCCACTGCTATAGGCATTTCCTTGCAAGGTGTTCAAGGTGTAGAGAGACAGCAACAAAACATGACGAAATCCATTGGATTTCTTTGGCTATCGGTCAACAAGTGTCAACATGTCATAGCTCGTATTTTCAGTACCAAGACCAATTGGCGCCTGTTGTTTGGTGCCTCATTTTGACTGCGTGCGTAGCATGACTTCCGTGAATCACATTGACCTCCAGGCCTTTCAAAGCGAAGGCTGACACTCTTCCTGTGTCACAGCTTGTCCAGGTATATTTCCCAATCATATCCCAGTCATGTACCCGCTGCCTGGTCAAAAAAACACATTCACTGGCACTGGCACTTATTTAACAAGGTATTTGATGGTATTTGTATACTCCTAAAATAGGGGATACCCCAAATCATCCATTTTAAAATCTGTTTTTCCATTATCAATCATCCATGTTGGAATACCACCATTTTAGGAAACCTCCATATGGCCAGAGGACAAAAACCTCCATGTATTCTGGATCCATGGAATTATGGAACTGAGAGGACATGCGAGCAAGGAGGGGACAACTGTTCAGTTTTAATAGCAGTCCAGAGTGCAAGGAACCTTCACTGGTTGGTGGTTTGGAACATTTTTTACGTTCCATAATATATGGGATAATCCTTCCCATTGACTTTCATAACTTTCAAGATGTTTAAAACCACCAACCAGTTCAATAACGGTTGTTTCTGCTCGATTTTGCACCACCGGCGAGCTGACCTGATGCAACCCTGGACCCAGGCAAGGAGATGACATAAATGGCTTGTCGCTGGTGAATGACGGCTTTCAAGCAATCGCTTTGAAAGAGATTGAGGAAGCCTACAAGGCTGGCACTTTGGAGATCCCGGTGAATCTTGGTGATGTGTTCGACAGCGGGTTGGAAATGGACTACTGCTCCTACACGCCAATCTGCTCCAGGGACACACATGTCGCCTGGATGACACTTCTTCATGATTCGGATCAGAATCGGTACCGCCCAACCTCCATCTACCAGAAAATTGCTGTCATTGAGTGGTACGTCCAAAAAGTGCCAGGTGGTGACCTCAAGCAAGCCCTTCGCCTACAATTAATGCCAGATTTATTGCCGATCTTTTGGAGCCCGAGATCGGAAGAATTGCTAGGAAGCAATCCCCGACCCTCGAGAGTTTTTTTGTTTTCGATGTCCCAGGTAATGGTCTCTAGATTGTAGCAAAGGCAACTCTTCTTCTCTCCTCCTTTCTTCCGCTTCTTCCTCCAGCTCCTCGTCACTCTGGCGCCAGCAGACCCAGATGTCACGGCGCGTGCCAACAAATCAAATCTGCATTTAAGCTTGCCCAAGTGCACGTGAGCAAATGAAGATCAAATCTGGATTAGAGACAATCAGAAAGAGACGCATCAATGGAAAAGACAAAATCCAGATGGAAGCCTGAAGCACACTGTACGGACATGAATGGAGGTTAACTCCAGATTTAAGCCCCCTAAAACCTGGTAGAGACATGGATGCGAGAATGGCTAGAATCTGGATTTAAGCTCTTAGAACTCTTGATTCCAGTTTGTTCCCTGGTTCGCGTTGTATATCTGGCGAGCTCGACGACGCGGCCACACATAGGGAGCTCCAGCTCAATCTGGGCACACAGACCCAACCGGAACATAGTAGGCGCACACTGACCCGAACACATGCCATTCCATTTAGAATATCAGAAAGATTGCCAGATAGAAGGCCAAAACGTAAGTCAGAAAGAATGTCAGGCAAAGAAACGTCAGAGGAGATACCAAATATCGAGTGAATGCTAGCAAAAATACGGAATGGATGGCGGGAAGAGTATCTTGGATACCAGATAGAGAATGCCAGAAATAGAATGTCAGCGAGACTGTCACAATAGAAGCCACATAGAATGCCAGAAAATCTGGGAATAATCCCTTCCTCCTAATACTAAACGTCCCCCTAATACTAAAAACAGGCATCCATCTCCAATTTCCGAAAATTTCAGTTTGGCCAATTTGACTTTTAATTGATCCCCTTTAAAAAACAATTTAAAAATCAACCTACCATTTGTGGGTTCTCCCCCCTAATACTAAAAACTAGTTCACCCCGGGGTGTTTAGTATTAGGGGGGCCTAGTCCCAATCCCTCACTCCAAGCTGCCTGGCTACTCTAGCAATTAGGGGTAAGCTTCGAACTGCCATTTTTGGCAATATTTTAATTGCGTTATATAAGGAAATTTAATTGATTTTGAGATCGGAAAAAATAGTTTTTAGTATTAAGGGTTTTTATTTAGTATTAGGGGTAAGCTTCGAACTGCCATTTTTGGCAATATTTTAATTGCGTTATATAAGGAAATTTAATTAATTAATTTACATGACTTCGATTTGGTTCCCTAATAATAAATACCCCCCTAATACTAAAAACTACCTGCCGTGTTTTGTATTAGGGGGGGGGTTTAGTATTAGGAGGAAGGGATTAGATGCTAAATAGAATTCCAGAAGACATGCCAGAAGGAATGGTGGAAAGAATGTCAAAATATCTGCCAAATAGACCGCCAGAAAGAATATAAACATATATGCTAGAGTGAATGTCGGATAAAATGTCTAAAAAATGCTAGCCGGAATATAGGCCGGAAATCATATATCAGATAAAATGGCGGATAGATATCATTAAATTGTTTCAGGTGACAAACCAGAACCTATTTCAAACTGGTAAATCAATGCGAGGGTCATTCGAAGTAAGTAGTTCGTGTTTGTTTTGGTGTGGTGGATGCAAGCAGGTTCCCTTTTCCTGCATGGCAATGGAAACCTGCTCTTCTGGATGGGTGCTTTTGGTTTTGTGTGATCCTGAGTTGGAATACTTTGTGGAAATCATGTTTGGTTGTAGGATGTTTCGGCAGTGCTGCCCGCAGCGCAGGGCGGGGCCCGTCGCAGGTAAAGAGGCACTAATTACTCGCAAGTTTGGCCATGGTTTGGCCGCAACCAGGACTTACAAACAAAGGTTGTAGGCGAATATAACTTTGCAAACCATATAGGGTGCTCCAAAATGTGATGGATTCTCATCATTTTCTCGATTTTTTAGTGGCCACAACAGAGGGTATACGGGTATACTATATAAGTATATATAAGTTATATAAGCATGTTTTGACCATCGCAAACATAGGTGATACATTGATACATCCCATGCAGCTCCATTCAATCTCATCAAAGCCCATATCTTCCATATGAGGGTTTCCATACATGGGGGTGGATGATTTGGGCGTCCTATTTTAGGAAACCCTCATATCCTCATGAAATCTCCATATCCCAGTACTCAATTCGTGCTGCAGTTGACCGAGCCCACCCCTCGGCACCAGGCAATCGACTTCCGTTCGTGCCCTTCGCACAGATGCTGCAGCACACCCTTCGCATCTGCCGGGTGTTGGCCCTTCGGGGGTCACGCCTGGCAGTGCTGCTGGGGCCCAACAACTCTGGAAGGAGGTCCCACGGTGCCACCGTGAGCGTTTCATGTCTTGGGCTTAATAGAGACCCTCTGGTAATTTAACATAGCTATTGAAAATGGCACATGTATAAATAGTTGATTTACCCATAAAAGATGGTGATGTTCCAGAGTTATGTTAGTTTACCAGAGGGTAACCACCAAGCACCACAATTTGAAAGAGGAAGTCTTAAACATAGATCATGGAATCATGGTTGCTGGTTATTAAGAATAGATGCTATAGCTTGGACATGTGGCTGTTGGTTGTTGATGGTTCTTTAAGCCCAAAACGTACATGATTATTATATATTTGGGATGTCTCCGAACTGGAAAGTGTGCTGAATTCCCATGATTTGTGCTGCTGGTGTCCCACGATGAACCTTTTGACAGGAACCAACCACACTTGGGGATGCAAGCGAGGATATAGTCGGATATGACATGTTTTTAAACACCAACAATAGGATTTTTGGACTCTGTTCAATACGTTGTTTTGCCTTACCCCATTCATAAATCCACCAGAAATGGGGAATCTACTGGTAGTACGTGTCAATGTTTGTTGGCCCAGTTTGGTCATGAAGCTAGCCTCATACCGTATGTCATTAGCCATGCCCAATCCCTTGCTTTTGCCTATTTTGAGGTCTAGTTCCCCATTCTGTTGTTTATGTCATCCATTTGTTGGCCTTTTGTCAGACCGGGTCAGATGTGCATTTCGCTGCGAAAAGAAAAACACTGGCATATTATAGTGTTTCTTGTGTATTTTACGGGTTGCCCTTTGAGAATCTCTCATGGCTATGGAAAACGGCCCATTTTGTAGATGTTTTACCTCTAGAAATAATGATTTTCCATTTCGCAAATGATTAGATTACCAGAGTGTGTATCTAACCCACATAGATTAGTCGATGAAACATGATGAACACTTACTGTAATATATCATGTATATAGATACATATCTATTTAATCTATCTATCTATTTGTCTGTTTATTTAATTTTATATATCTATCCATCCATCAATCTATTTATCTAATTTATCTAATTTATCTGATTTATCTAATTTATCTGATTTATCTAATTTATCTGATTTATCTAATGTATCTAATTTATCTAGATTTATTAATCTAATTTATCTAATTTATCTGATTTATCTAATTTATTTGATTTATCTAATTTATCTAATTTATCGTATCTAATTTATCTAATTTACTTAATTTATCCAATTTATCTAATTTATCTAATTTATCCGATTTATCTATCTATCTATCTATCTAATCTAATCTTATCTTTTCTTATCTTATCTATGTATCTATGTATCTATCTATCTCTATATATATATCTCTCTATATATATATCTATCTCTCTCTATCTATGTCTGTATCTATATCTATTTCTATCTATATCTATCAACATATCTATCAACACATCTATCAACATATATCTCTGTTATATCTGTCTATAAGTATCTATATCTATCTGAATCTATCTATATGTGTCTCTATCTTTTTATTTCTATTTATATTTATTTTTATTTATATATATATTTTTTCTTTTTTAATCTATCCATGTATGTATATATATATATACATGTAGTTATCTATATATCTAAATGTCTATATATATATATATCTTTTTATATATATATATATATGTCTATATATCTGTCTATGTATATATATACATATTTATTTTGATCTATCTATATCTGTGTGTATCTATCTATATCGTTCTAATTACTTCAACAATCTATGATATATATATATATATATGTCTATCTTTAAATATCTATACAGTATCTATCTATATAGGTCTGTATAGACATAAAATATCTATTTATCTATCTATCTATCTATCTATCTATCTAAACCTTTATTATTTATCTATATAAGCCTATCTACATTTGTATATTTATATATATACCTATATCTATCTATATCTATCTGTATAGTTATATAGCTTTATCTATCTATACCTATTTGTATCTATCTATACCTATCTATAACATTATGTATCTACTCTTATCTTTGTGTATATTTCTAATCTATCTAATCCATCTAATCAATCTATCCAATCTACCTAATCTATCTAATCCATCTATTATTAATCTATGTAATGTATTTTATCTATCTAATCTATCTGAATTATCTTATTTATTACTCTATCTAATGTGTCTTATCTAATCTATCTAATTTATTTATTAATCTATCTAATGTATCTAATCTATCTAATTTATCTAATATTTACTAATCTATCTAATCCACTAAATTTATCTAATAAATCTATCTAATTCATCTATCCATCTATCTATGTTCCATTCTTCCGCGGTGAATCCCGAATGTTTCTTGGCTACGTCCCATGGCTTCACCTGACTTCAGGAGCGCCTGCCACGCGGCGTGTTGCTTCTTCGAGGCCGAGTGTTGTCGCTTGGATCACTGGGAGGACCCGGTTGCCATGGAAAGAATACGGCCCATGTATAAATGATTTATGATGATTTACATGATGATTATGATGATTATGATGATGATTGATGATGATTTACATGGATTTGCCTGTAAACATAGTGATGACTATGATGAATTATGACGATTTACGTTGATTTACCTATATAGTTTTGCATGTTGCATTTGCAATATGTTGCATAGCTATGTTAAATTACCACAGGGTCATGGGAATTTAAATAATGGGATTATATATATATATAGTGGAGTTGAATGGAAGGTTTTTCCAATCATGTTATATGGATACCATGTGAATATCATGTAATGGACCATGGAATTTAAGGGGAATTTTCATAGGACTATAGTTGGATGATGTCGGATTTCTAACCAGTAGTATGACATTTTTGCGGGTCTGTCTGATGGTCTACCTCCGAGTTGTGCCATGAATTTTTGGCTACGTTGGGTAGCCTTTTTTAAGACACTCGCTGTTGAGACTAAGCGGGTATAGGAAGAATCATGAACAAAACCATGTAACACACATTGACCATTAGCATGATTTTTCACGAATTACGGCAAGAGGGCGAATGGTTGCTGTGGTGGAGGCACACTATATCGAGATGACCTGGAGGTACCACTTGGTCAACGTAGTTTTGGGCAACCAAACATGGGGATATAATTTAATACATATGAAGATAGGGCAAGATACATATCAAGTGTACAGTGTAGATGGGACCCACGAAAAGCCACACTGTAGGAAGGGTTGTTATATTCTGAAATTGTGCAGATGCTTCCACCGTGTGACAGGGATCTGGTTATATTCTTGGAAAGGTTGATAATCACCATCCCGTTCAGAAAGCTTTGCAGTGTATGCATTCCAGTGAAGAAGCTTGGCGCTGGAATTTCACCTTTCCATTGCCAGCTTTGTTTTCTGGAACTGTAATGTAAATCTTTCTTCAATGGCTGATCCTCCCAGGAATGGTAAGTGGCTACTGTAACTGCTGAGTTGTGTTTCATATAGTCTTTCATATATTAACTATATATATATATAATTATATATATATATTGTATATACATACATACACGTTTCTTTCAATTGGCTGCCTTATATTTTCAACTGGGTTGAAGCCCCCAACACCAACGCCTTGTCCTCCCAGGTGATGTGTTGAAGAGTATCAGAACCAAAGGCACCGCCAAGGCAAGGCCGCAACAATGAATGGTAAATCTGTTATTTTTGTAGATCAGTGGGTGATTTCTTTTGGCTGGCTATAGTCATGTTTTTTTTAAACTATGAGTGGGCATGTGAACTGTGAAGAAAGTTGCAGTTGCAAATGGAAAACCGAAGCAGCGGAAGTTGGAAGAATAACGATTATATACCAGGATTACATCATACATAGCATCATATGCATATTCGCTGTATTTACATGTATAGACGTATCAACAAATTTCAACAAATATCGCTTTCAGGTTACTTTGGATGCCACTGACATCCTTCAATGGGAAACTTGACTCATGTACCAAGATTAATCCAATTGTACAGGAGTCTTCATTCTCTTCAATGATGAATGCATTTATCTTACGGCCATCTAGCGGTTCGGTTTATCCCTCATCGCGTGAACACATGATACAAATCTTGGTTTCCCGTGTTTCTACTCCTTTGCCAATCTGTTTTCCCATACTTTACCAAGTTGTTTCATAGGGATGGAATCAATCCTTTTCCACTTGACCGGTCCCAATTACAAATGGTAAAAAGATTCGCCCTCACAGATGTCATTGGTGGTTAATACACCCAACTCATAGACCATTGAGGAGGACTACGTGACGTCCATGCGCGATTGCATCATGAGTAGCTGGGCAACAGTACTGGCGCGACGTTTCTGGATTTGTCCGACTGTGCTATCTTATTTGTTTGTGTGTTGCTTTTTTGTTGAGTTGTGCCATCTAAGTTCACTTCAGATGAAATTCTATGTTATATGAAATGGTGTTGACATTGTTGTTGATATGTGTTTGGGTAAAACATTGACATAGTTATTATAAAATTAGTTTTATATATGATATATGTATACATAACACATTGCTATATCTATATGCGAATATATATATATATATATATTCACATTATATACAATATCAAATTTGATTTTAGATATTATAATTTCTGTTACATCACATATTGTTGTATATTATATTGTAGTATATTCGATGTAATGTATTACTATACTCTATATCTAATGTGATATTTTATGTTTCAGTGAAAATGTATATCATATATCACAGTATTGTAATTGTATATATCTATATTGATTTATCAGATTCTACTATTGTCACCTTATTTTGAATTGTATGGCCTTTTAACCTATAGTGTATTATATATATATATTGGTTTGTGCATTTTTTTTAATTAGACATATATATATATATATACATATAGCTGTTGTTGCATTATATTATATCATAGTATCATAGTATATGATCTTAAATCATATTGCATGATACTACATTATCATCTTCTATTATGTTGTTTAATGTGGGTAAAACCATTTCATAAACAATCCCTCCAATCACCATTATTTTTATGGGTTGTATGGTTACCATTCCCAGTCATGGGTGGTTTATGGTATTGTTTTACCAACATTATAACCATAGGTATTCACCACCAGCTTGGATGATTTCCCTATAGGTATGAATGTTATTTTACCATACCTATAGGGAAATAGTCCAACTATCGTAAATTAGCATCCATACCTATAGGTCTTAATAACATCCATAGTTGATGGTTTTACCAACATTATTTGATGTTATTTTAAACTTAAGTCTTAATACGAACCATAGGTATTCACCACCGGGATCAAGCGCACCCAGGTGCCGGAAAGCTGGGTCGCCGGCAGTTGGTGTTGATCCGCGACACGCCCTCTGTGGCGGTCAACGAGGTGTCCGTTTTTGGGTCCCGTGGAGGTGGTGATTTGCTGGTAGACGTGGGAGAAATCGAGATAAAATGGGAAATGGTCATGTCATTTCATGGTGATTTACTAGGATTTAATGGGATTTCTAGAGGGATCTCTAGAGGTTTCCAAAGTCATGGTACCCCAAAATCATCCAAGTTGTGGATGACCATGACCATTGAAACACCCAAACGGAACTCAATCTGGTTGGTGGTTTGGATCATTTTTTATTTTTCCATATATTGGGAAGAATCATCCCAACTTACGAACTCATATTTTTCAGAGGGGTAGGGTTGAAACCACCAACCAGCAATATTGTTCATGTGACTGTTGATATATCATCTTGGGATGGTGGTTTCATATGTTTGTTGATTCTAAACCATAGAGCATTGTTGATCTAGTTTTCAACCATAGACATGAGATGATGATCCCAACTGACAAACATATTTTCAAGATGGGTTGAAACCACCAATGAAATAAACGTAGGGCATTTGGAACCAAACATTTGGATTTAGCCAAGCAACATTATTGACCCCTAGAAGATTAAAAAAAACTCTACAGTATTTACTGTATGTTTCTTATGTTATACATACATGATCCATATTTTGATCCAACAGTACCTCCATGTTGACAACCGGCGGTAAAATACATGGATTTGGACGGAATAGGGACTTGTTCAACCAAAGAAAGGGATTTTAAGCAACCACCAATGGCAGTTGACTTCTATCTTCAAGAAACATGGCGAGTCAGTACAAGTTGATCAACTACAGCATAGTCGAAGAAGGAAGAAAACATGTCAACACATCATCAGGATTTCAGCAAACATGGTAGGGATGAAACTACAAACATGGTGATTTGTGCGGGCCAAATTTGGATCGAAGCATGCTGCATGTGATTTAAACACACTTAAAGTGACAGTGATTCATGGTGGTGCACCTTTTATTGAATGGTGATCTAGCGGGTCTCATTGGTGTGAAATTCCATGACTTATGGCATTATCATTGCAGAAATAACAGTGTCTCTCTGTATATATATATATATGTATATATATATATATATACAATTATATACACATGACTGACTATATAATTATACCCACAGGCCTGGGGGTGCCGCCCAGAGGTTTATCATGGGACCAACTCTTTAGGGTTTGTTTAGGGCCGGGTTTCTTTAGGGTTTATTTGGAAATTGAGGGTTTCATTTGGGTTCTCTAGAGTTTTCACCGCGGTTTCAATCATTTTGTTTACTTTCAAGGCTTACTTAGGGTTTCATCTCAGATTTGGGTGTTGGAAACAAGTCTTGTCAGCCAAATTGCCATTTCACCGACATACCAACATGCAAAAAACACCGGCCCTGCGCAGCTCAAATCCGCTTCGCCGGGCAACACCCCCGTCCTGGCCGCAATTGTATGTGTCATAACTATTGGAATTATATGACTTAAATTATAATGTCATCCATTATTATTGGTGTATTATAAGTGTCATAACTAATTCTATTACTATTACAATTAAAACAAATTGCTGTTGGATTTGTGATGTTTTTTTGTTATTATAGTGTCATCCATAATTCTATCTATACATTACTATTACAATTCTATCTATTACTATAACAAAGCTATGGATTGTGATGTTTTTTTTACAGTTCCTTGCCAGGAGACCATGGACATGATTTTGGATTCCTGGCATCGCTTTCTTCGTCACGGTCCCTGGGCTGACGTTCACTTGGTGAATTCTATGGTTTTATGGGGGATATATACCCTCTGGTAAACTAACATAACTATGGAAAATCACCATTTTTAATGGGTAAATCCACTATAAATAGCAATTTTCAATAGCTATGTTAAATTACCAGAGGGTAACTAGGTTCACGGCTCATATTTCGCCGTGAGTGGACATTTCGGTGATGTGTATGTCGCACTCAAATCGTCGCAATGACATGCGTTTCTACTTGTTGTGTGCGTTCAATGTTTGCAAAAGGTCCTTTTTTCTCTTCTGCGAAATGCGAGTAAACTAGTCGGATCTTCACCAAATTTTGGTTAGATGCCGCAAGAAAGTCTTTGCATTCAAGTTTCCCAAGTGTTTTTCGCCAAGCCGTGGCGTGCAGATGTGCAACCAACGTAGCATCCGTAGCGTGACATATCTTTGATTCCGTAAGAAGACACGTCTGTGCGAATGCAAACACAGGACGTTATTAGCCCCCCACCCACCCCACCCCACCCCACCCCATCATAACCTCTAAAATGATCTAAAATGATCAAACAATAATATTTTACCACGGTGAATTATGAGCCGTGGTCCAACCATATTATAGAGTTAATCATTTGTTTCGAAACAAATATGGTTTCTGGGGGATACAACTACAGTTAATGAATGTTGGTGAGGTTATAAACATTTTGTTCAAGCAACTTATTTTTCTGCGGGGCCTCACCTTTAGGAATATTCACCCAGGTTTTTTGTTTCACCATTAGAGGGTATATAATTCAACGCAGACCCAAAAGAAGGAACTGATTATTGGTTTTGTCACATGATCAATAGTAATGTGGTTAAAACAATCATAAACCATCCCCCAGTCATCACCAGAAATAGGTGGTATAAACCATTCCCAAGTGGGTAGTTTCTTATTGTTTTAACCACATGAATTACTCGTAATGTAGATGCTCATGATTCGGATTGATCCACGGGCACCAAAATTTGGGTGATTTTTTTAACGATTTCACCACAATGTCACCGCAAAAACCGTTGGTTCTTTGAGGTACTCGTACTGGTGTATGGTGTCATGTCTTGTTAGTTTCAGTGCTTTTTTCTAGATGATCAAACCAACTGGCTGATATCTGGAATTTCCAGCCATTGCGGTGACCAAGTGTTTCACATTCCAGCCGGCTCTGCCCGAAGTTTTCCTGGTACCTCTTCCAATATCTTCTGATCATGTGTTTTTCAGGTGATTTGCCCACACATTTGACAGCAATATGATAGAATCTCCAGCGTTTGTTGATTGAATTGTTGGAACCCGCATGTTTTTGGTCGCAAAATTATGCAAACTCTAGCTTTGTTGATTGATTTTTTTGAAATCCCCATGCTTGATGTGAAAATTCCCACCAGCTTGGCTAAACTCTGCTTTTTGGGGTCAGCTCCCTTGTTTCGTTGACTTCCTCGTATGTGCCAGGTGACTTGCTGAACCCGGAGGATTTGCAGGTATCTTTCGGTGCCAAGCAGTGTTTGGGCAGCTATGTGTTTTTTACAACCCTTAAATTCAAGCTGGAACCGAACACAGGCCATATAGATGTTCTCAGAAATTGCAATACCATATGGATGTTCTCAGAAATTGCGATACCCCAAAATCATTGGCATCTTCAGTAAAAAAAACACTGTGTGACATTGTCCCATGTAAGGAATATGGAGGCTATCCATCTATCATCTATCCATCCATCCATCTAGCTATCCATTATCCATCTATCCATCGATCTATCTATCTATATAGTGTGATTTTCTTTCACTAAGGACACACATTTCAACAGTAGTTTCACACCTGCGGCAACTGTATTTGTTCGCTTGATGCTGTTTCTCACTCCAAGAACTTCATTTATATCCTCTTTGTTTCCCCTTCGTTTCCCCATTTTGTTGGTCCATCCATTTGTTGTTAAACCTCCATGGATCCCCAGATTTTCATCACATTTTTGGTGCTTCAAATCTCCATCAGCCGCAGGATGCCGAGCTGCCGGAAGCGTCGTGGCGGCCCTTGCTCTTTTGCGCGCTGAGCGTCACGTCGCTGAAGCATTTGAGAAACTTTCCAGGTGCCCCTGGGAAACTGAGAAAGCGGAGCTTTTTTTTCACTACAATTACAACCCAACTAATGAAATACAGTGAACTGTAGTCATGTTTGTTGGTTTATGATCCCCATTAACTATCATAGGTATCAACCATACCTACGCTTATCATAGCTAAGGTCAGCTAACTATAGGCCAGCACCTTGCAACAGTCTGACGGGGGATTTTCGGGATATAAAGAGGGTTTCTGGTTGCCCAGCGGGTTAAGGTACAACTTGTTGCGAAACTGGAAGGTATTTGGGTTAACAAACATATATATATATATAATTATATATAAATGGGCTAACGCCCTGGTGCCGCCGACCCCCATTTGGAGGGCCATGGTTATCCGATGTTATCCTACATGTTTCCATATTTGTCATGTTTGTCCATGATTTTCACCAGGATTTTGGGTAACTCACCAGAGCAACCACCTATACGTATCATCACCTTGTTCCCTTGCAGAGGGCTGGTAAATCCTGAGCATGACCCATGGAAGAGCCGGCCGAAGACGGTAAAGCGGGACTGATTCGCGGTGACTTGGGCAGGCAGCGGCAAAGCGGTAAAGGCCCACAGACGGGTTTTGTGTCGTGATGGGCCGTGCTTCACGTTTTGAAACCCTCTAAATGGAGTATGGCGACTGGCCAGGCGCTGGCAAAGGACTGCTGCTGCAGGGCAACGTGTTCGCGGTGACCTGGGAAGGCAGTGGCAAAGCGGTAAAGGCCCACAGAGGGGTTTTGTGTCGTGATGGGCCGTGCTTCGCGCACGTTTTGAAACCCTCTAAATGGAGTATGGCGACTGGCCAGGCGCTGGCAAAGGACTGCTGCTGCAGGGCAACGTGTTCGCTCTGACCTGGGAAGGCAGTGGCAAAGCGGTAAAGGCCCACAGAGGGGTTTTGTGTCGTGATGGGCCGTGCTTCGCGCACGTTTTGAAACCCTCTAAATGGAGTATGGCGACTGGCTAGGCGCTGGCAAAGGACTGCTGCTGCAGGGCAAAGCGGTAAAGGCCCACAGAGGGGGTTTTGTGTCGTGATGGGCCGTGCTTCGCGCACGTTTTGGGACCCTCTAAATGGAGTATGGCGACTGGCCAGGCGCTGGCAAAGGACTGCCGCTGCAGGGCAACGTGTTTGCGGTAAAGGCCCACAGAGGGGTTTTGTGTCGTGATGGGCCGTGCTTCGCGCACGTTTTGAAACCCTCTAAATGGAGTATGGCGACATGGCCAGGCGCTGGCAAAGGACTGCTGCTGCAGGCAGTGGCAAAGCGGTAAAGGCCCACAGAGGGGTTTTGTGTCGTGATGGGCCGTGCTTAGCGCACGTTTTGAAACCCTCTAAATGGAGTATGGCGACGCTGGCAAAGGGCTGCCGCTGCAGGGCAACGTGTTTGCGGTGACCAGTGGCAAAGCGGTAAAGGCCCACAGACGGGTTTTGTGTCGTGATGGGCCGTGCTTCGCGCACGTTTTGAAACCCTCTAAATGGAGTATGGCGATTGGCCAGGCGCTGGCAAAGGACTGCCGCTGCAGGGCAACGTGTTCGCGGTGACCTGGGAAGGCAGTGGCAAAGCGGTAAAGGCCCACAGAGGGGTTTTGTGTCGTGATGGGCCGTGCTTCGCGCACGTTTTGAAACCCTCTAAATGGAGTATAGCGACTGGCCAGGCGCTGGCAAAGGACTGCCGCTGCAGGGCAACGTGTTTGCGGTGACCTGGGAAGGCAGTGGCAAAGCGGTAAAGGCCCACAGACGGGTTTTGTGTCGTGATGGGCCGTGCTTCGCGCACGTTTTGAAACCCTCTACAAAGGACTGCTGCTGCAGGCAGTGGCAAAGCGGTAAAGGCCCACAGAGGGGTTTTGTGTCGTGATGGGCCGTGCTTAGCGCACGTTTTGAAACCCTCTAAATGGAGTATGGCGACTGGCCAGGCGCTGGCAAAGGACTGCTGCTGCAGGGCAACGAGTGTTCGCCGTGACCTGGGAAGGCAGTGGCAAAGCGGTAAAGGCCCACAGAGGGGTTTTGTGTCGTGATGGGCCGTGCTTCGCGCACGTTTTGAAACCCTCTAAATGGAGTATGGCAACATGGCCAGGCGGTGGCAAAGGACTGCTGCTGCAGGCAGTGGCAAAGCGGTAAAGGCCCACAGAGGGGTTTTGTGTCGTGATGGGCCGTGCTTCGCGCACGTTTTGAAACCCTCTAAATGGAGTATGGCGACTGGCCAGGCGCTGGCAAAGGACTGCTGCTGCAGGGCAACGTGTTCGCAGTGACTTGGGAAAGCAGTGGCAAAGCGGTAAAGGCCCACAGAGGGGTTTTGTGTCGTGATGGGCCGTGCTTCGCGCACGTTTTGAAACCCTCTAAATGGAGTATGGCGACTGGCCAGGCGCTGGCAAAGGACTGCCGCTGCAGGGCAACGTGTTTGCGGTGACCTGGGAAGGCAGTGGCAAAGCGGTAAAGGCCCACAGACGGGTTTTGTGTCGTGATGGACAGTGCTTCGCGCACGTTTTGAAACCCTCTAAATGGATTATGGCGACATGGCCGGTGACCTGGGAAGGCAGTGGCAAAGCGGTAAAGGCCCACACGGGGGTTTTGTGTCCTGATGGCCCGTGCTTCGCGCAGGTTGTGAAACCCTCTAAATGGATGGAGTGGAGTATGGCGTTCTGGCGACATGGCCAAGCGCTGGCAAAGGGCTGCCGCTGCAGGGCAACGTGTTCGCGGTGACCTGTGAAGGCAGTGGCAAAGCGGTAAAGGCCCACAGAGGGGTTCTGTGTCATGATGGGCCGTGCTTCGCGCACGTTTTGAAACCCTCTAAATGGAGTATGGCGACTGGCCAGGTGCTGGCACAGGCCTGCCGCTGCAGGGCAACGTGTTTGCGGTGACCTGGGAAGGCAGTGGCAAAGCGGTAAAGGCCCACAGAGGGGTTTTGTGTCCTGATGGACAGTGCTTCGCGCACGTTTTGAAACCCTCTAAATGGAGTATGGCAACATGGCCGGTGACCTGGGAAGGCAGTGGCAAAGCGGTAAAGGCCCACACGGGGGTTTTGTGTCCTGATGGCCCGTGCTTCGCGCAGGTTGTGAAGCCCTCTAAATGGATGGAGTGGAGTATGGCGTTCTGGCGACATGGCCAAGCGCTGGCAAAGTTGCGGTGACCTGTGAAGGCAGTGGCAAAGCGGTAAAGGCCCACACGGGGGTTTTGTGTCGTGATGGGCCGTGCTTCGCGCAGGTTGTGAAACCCTCTAAATGGAGTATGGCGACTGGCCAGGCGCTGGCAAAGGACTGCCGCTGCAGGGCAACGTGTTCGCGGTGACTTGGGAAGGCAGTGGCAAAGGGTTTGGTGTCTGGTGGACCATGCAGGCCGAGGTCCTAGCAGGCCAAAGCCGCACACCTGCGGTGATCCCGGGCGCCGCCCCGCCTGGGCCAAGGCTAGGCAGGGGTCGGCGGATATAAATATATTATATTTTATGAATAGATACACGGGAGGTACTCACCACCTTTATTACGTCACATTTGCAAACTATTCCGGAATAAAAAACACTATCCTGCGTTATTTACAAAGTATATTGGCCTGTATGAAGCTATATTAATTGACCTTCAGGAATTTCTTATGATTTTATGATCATCAGTTTTAGCATCTGCCCTAGATGCTATGGAAATCCATGGAATCAGCAAGTGCTAGCTGGGCGATTTTCCACGATGTAGCCTTAAGTGACTCGAGTGTTACTGATTTTCATTTTCTCTTCAGGGTCAAATCCCAATTTGTATCCTGTTCCATTACTCATGTGCAAAATGGTTGAATTGTCATTTCTGTCGTGACATGTCATTTCCAGCCTAAACATTATCCAAATAATTTGAATCACATGGTTGATAATTTGGAAGTTTCCTAAGCTGGGGGTACCCCCAAATCATCCCAGTCATTTGTATAGACCATAAGATAGTATTCAAACAACCATGGTGACCCGGAGATCCTCCATTTTAAAACCCCACCCATATCTTGTTAGGGATTCCCCTAATGGATTCTTATAGTTATATCATGCATTATCATGCTATATGATATATATATATATATATATATCATGTTATATCCCATTAACTACAGTAATATTCCCCATGAACTATATGGGGCTTTTTCAACATGGAGGATTCCCAAGTCACCATAGGTTTCAATACTAAAATTGTCAAATTTTGGATTGGGGGTACCCCCACTGCTACCGCGAAGGCTTCTTGGCGGAGGCCTACATCGATTGTTTCTTGCCCTTGACCGAGGAGGCCTTGCAGGGTGTCATCAGCGCGGTCACAGGCGAGACTGGCTGTTGGTAAATGTTGGCAATGCCGGAAATTCCATAGGGATTTAAGCGGATTTTATAGGATACTTATGGAATTGTTTATGGCATCTAAAATCCACCACAACTAGGATATCATGGGAATATGAATGGTTTACCCTCCGGGAACCAAACATGACAATGGAAACTCCATAAAAATCCATGAGCGAACGGAGATTTTCATGGGAAAATTATGCATCAAACGGGAATTGTCCAGCAAGCCATGTTTGATTACCACGGGGCATGGGGATTAAAGAGCGAAATTGGTGAGTTGAGTTTACCAAAAATCGGGATGCAAGATGATTGAGCATATATGTGAGCCATTTTAGCCACATAAATGGTATAGATAATCGATATGTATTTAAAGATATCAAAGACCGTTCGGTTGGTGATGCGATGATGTACAGCGAATTTCTTCGATCTTCCTATTATATGCTGAGCGATTTTTTGGCTTTGTGTACGTCTTGAGCAAACTTCATGCTTCGTACCCCGCCTTCAGATATCCAGCACTGGAGGTATTGATCGAGATTTGTCAGATAAGAACTCCAAGTTCGGCTCGCGGCAGTGACGTGGCAGTGATGGAACCTTAAGGCTTCCCCGCTCAACGGCTAATGCGGCCAATGACCCAATTCATCAGCCTGTAGAGTGGCAGTGGGCACCATGAGACTAGGGTAAATCATCCAAGTGGATGGCCTGGCCGAAATCAGGTTCGGGAATTGTTTGGTTTGTCATCATGGTTTGTCATTTACATGTCACAAGATGTGTCTATATTTAACGATGATTTGATGTTTTGTTCCTTGAACTTAAACTTAAACCCTAGATGTGTTGGCATGTCCGATGAATTCTCCAATATGTAGCCACGTGTAGCCCAGGATTGCCGAAGCCCTGACTTTAGACGAAGATCATCTGCATTTTGTAAACACCAATGTGCCATGGCCGCACTGTGGCTTGATCGGATGGGTAGGAGTTGGGGTGATTTTTTACCACAAACCTCACCAGAAATGGTGCTTGGATGTGCTTGGTGTATAGAGGGTAACTATTCACTTCGTGTCGGATTTGACATGATTTGGGTGTGTCCGAGAATCGGGTATACGACAAAATGGCAATATGAATGGGGATAATGATGACTAGTCAATAGATTTAGTTGGGGTACCCTATCCTTAGACAAACCCACTCAGAAATGATCAGACATGCTCCATGTTTTGCCTGTCAAATGTAGCCTCTGGACATTAAACATGGCAATGGAAGATCCATCATTTAGTTCCATGATTTTCAATTATAGCACCCTTTATTTAGGATTTTGAAGCCAGCCATGCTTGATATCCAGAGGGTAAAGATGCCAGCATCATGTATTGTAATTTTCCAAGTGCAATGCCAGCCGATTTTTTTTTATTTTTGGGCTTGAAAACCTTCTTGCACGCACCTAAAACATTCATTTTGTGGGGTTGACGCTTGTGATCCACATCCATTCTTAGGTTTTTTGGGGTATCCAAAGGGTCCCATGCTGGCCCCTGCTAAATCGCAAAGTCAACTGCCATAGACAAACCCCCAGTGAAGGGAAAGCACAATGTCATTGGCTCATTTCTATCCATTTTTCCATTTCTTGAAGTGTGCCATCATTGCATCGAATTCCTGTTTTGCATCCTTCTGCGAAGAATGTCGCAGATTCATCGCGGCAGAGGTTTATCCCAAGCAAATTCGAAATGACAAATCACGGTTTACTGGTTCCTGTCATTTTTCCCTGCAATCAATTCATATTAATTCTCCCAATTGCCGACAAAATCTGCATTTTCTGGGTCACATCCTCATTTTTGTATGGAGATGATGGACCATCTGCGGCAATGAAAGGAAGCCAGCTGGGATTCCTAGCTGATGTACCAATAAGATGAACAATAACTATCTGATCTCGGGACTAAAATGCTTTGAACAAAGAAAGGTCAATCCAGTAGAAGTACCACATGTCTTCAGGGATAGGAATACATATATATATATAATTTAAATATATAAATACATATTTGTATATACACATGTACACACATATATATATATTATACATATGATCACCATGAACAAATCCATCGCAGTCCCGAACTGGTTGTAATTCGGAGCATCGCCACGTGGTGTTTGCCCCAGTTAGTGGTTGTAAGCCAATTATAAGCAGGGCAAGTAGGATTATTCCAATTATAGCTGGGGTGAGCCACCCCACTTTTTAAACATCAGATTGTCAGACTGTTAGTAACGTTCCATTATGTTCCATTAAACTCCCGTTCAATCACCATTTGTACCATCAATTGATCCTGGGTTTAATGCAGCTAAATCCCATGAAAAAAAAACATATCAATCCCATGTCAATCCCATAGAAACTCCACATCAATCCCATATCAATCCCATTTGTCCTCCCCATCTTCGCAGCATAGCAGTTTCTATGGCATTATGGTTTTCACAACGCAGGAAGCCTTTTGCCAAAAGATTTTGGCCGCCTTGGACCTCTTCCCTCAGATCTTCCGGATGGCACCGGAGGCCCTGAGAAAAGTGCTTGGCAGGTGGTCTCAAATTATCACATATTATGTTATTGTTGATATTAATCATCTCATTGTGACAACAGTGATAAGAATGATAATAACAGCAATAATAATCAAACACTATGATATTAACACTGTTATGATATTATGAGTATTATGTCTTTTAGTACAATGATCATTTTGTTGATAATTATATACTATTGTGATGAATACATGACAATAGTTATTTAATTCTTAATATCATTATGATTCTGATCGATGGAAACATGTACTAACCAGCTAAAGAAGAATTACAGCATCTAAAATTCACCATGATCAAGATATGTGCCACGGTCAAGACTTGGGTAAATTGTCCATGTTCGGTGATAGTCATCGATCCATGTTCAGAGGGATTTACATACCCGTGATGTTTGGATTTCTATGGAATGGGATGGATGACCATAACCCATATACCATGTAACTTGACCCTGGCACATATGACGATCAATGTTGATCCGCAGTGTTTTGTCCATTCATCCTGGCTCAACAGTTTGTTGTTTCCTCAACGAAGGGTGATAAGATTCTTAAGATGTGACAAGTTGCTTAACTTACCCTCTGGTAAACTAACATAATTATGGAAAATCACCATTTTCAATGGGTAAATCCACTATAAATGTGCCATTTTCAATAGCTATGTAGCTATGTTAGTCATAACCAGAGGGTAAGTGGTACACATCAGCCCACAGCTCTCCACCGGATTCCACGGTCGCAGGTGTCAGGCAGCGGGATGGATCGCCGGATCGCGGGCTGTTGGTCCTTGTTTGTTTTGTAGCGTTGCTAGGAAAGTATCTCTTGTTTGACTCATATTTGTTCTGATTGTATCTTTATGTCTTTAATCTTTAGCTGATGGATTATATCGACTCTTCACAGCTGCATTTGTTTGAATGTGTCCTTTTGGCAGCTGCAAATATGTGATTTCATGGATATTTCCATGTGGTTTGAGATACTCGTGTATTGTTCTATCACTATTTGAAGGTGATTCATCCAAATTTGACCAATGTTTGTGGGACGGGTGCCCAACCACCAGCTAATTAGGACTTGTTGAGTCGTCAGTTATCAGCCGCATTTAGGGTCGCTTGACGTTTCACTAATTTGGGCAAATGACTGGTTCAGTAATGTCTTCAATCCAATTCTTATGTATAACCAGATTCTTTAAATTGTCTATTAAATATTACAAAACACATCATATAACTAGGGATGGTGTTCTAGCCAGCTGAACACCAAAGCACAACTAAGGGTTCGACGTCCGACCTTCAAGATACTTGCGCATGTTTGTTTTCAGTACTTTATTGAAACTGAATTGAATTGAGGAGTCCTTCAACCACAAGTACATCCCTGGTATACGCCGGTGGTCTGTTGGATCTGTTCATAAACAGGGATCCCAGTGGGAGGGTGTACTCTTACATAATACAGGCAAGATGAACAGCATATTTTGAATAATTCAGTTGGTTGACCATGCGTTTTTGTTTTCAAGGGTAAACCACCCATGGATTGTTGAAGATTTTAGTACCGAAACTTGCCTTATGTTTATGGGCCTACCGAAAGAGGATCTCAACTCTGTTAAACAAGTTCCAAATCCGTCAACAAGTCCTAGGGGTCACTTGCAATTGCCGAAAGTGAGGGATACCTTTTGTTGAAGCCATTGTTTTCTTCTTTTTCAACCATCAAATGTTGTTTTTTTTTTCACAAGCTTCGGAGAAACCACGATACCCGGTAACTGGCTTGTGATGTGGTTAACCCTTCTTACTAATTTTGGCCCACCTTGGAAGTTGGTAGCTGGTTAAAAGCTGGGTTCTATCCCCCTAAGCATATATGTGTATGTGTGTATAGATGTATACAGTATACAAATGTATACAATATTGTCATCCTGGAGAAGATAGAATATCGATATTATAAAACGATAACATAACTTTAAATGGGAATATCGGAACATCTTTCAACATTCGATAAACAATCTATCTACTTCAGGATGATTGTATGCATTCGTATGCATGCCAATCTTCAGGTTTGGTCGCCTCCCATTGAGTATGTTTCTGTTTGGCTACTTTGTGGTTTACCCCACTGAGTAAATAGGTTGTATCACATACTTATCTCCTTAATCTATATAACATGTTTTCTTGCTTTATTCCGCAGTTTCCTTTGTGAACCCCCATTTGTGGCATTGGCTTTTCCAATCATCTCGTATTAGTTGGCCTTTCTTATCCATAGCGCAATAAATAGTTCTTCATTCTTAGATTTACCATAATTTTACAGCTGAGCTGAGTTGTAAATTCATAGCCCATGATTTTCCATCCTTACGGTCCTGTTTGTCCAACAGTATCCAGGGTTTAAACCTATACCTTTCCCACTTTTTAAACCCGTTGCCTTGCAACACCAGGTGCTTCGCTGCGCAACTTCCTTGACATGCTGAACACCTTTGTCGTTTCCAGCACCGCCGGGAGCCGAGTTTCCCACCGGGATTGGTCATCAATTTCATCAATCCATATAGATTTCATAGGGATGATACCAAAAACATCCATGAACAATAGGGTTTGATCATGTGTAATCCCAATATTTAGATTAATTAATCATATTATATCATATTTGATCATGGGTATAATCCCAATATTTAGATTACCGCCCATGGGTTATGGGATTTAGATACCCTCATATTTGGATTCCCAATATGAGATGGATGACCATGGTTACCTCCAAAATAGAAGTGGCTTGACCATGGCACAGATTGAACCCCCCAAAAATAATAACGACAAGTAGAATCCGAATCGAAGCTTCTGAAACATGTTTCTATATCTTTTCGAATGGCTTACATAATACAGGAGTCCCAAACACCAGCTCCATGTATGACATGTTTTTGTCGGAGATGCTGACCATGGTGATCTCACGAATCCCAGGAGTTCACCATGGGACTAGTCATGGGACTCGTCGATGAAGAATAGCCATTGCATCCACCATTTGGGGAATCTTGAACCTATAGTTATTTTTTGGGATATGTTTGGGGCCAGAGACCCTTTGAGTCAAATTTGGAGCAAATCCAAGATTATCAGAAATAACCTATGATTATTATAATTATGATAATATCATTGATATATTTGTGATAATCTGATAATTTGATATATTATTTTTGATAATTATAAAATTATAATTATGCATTTAGATTATTAGATAAATTTGATCCATGATTATCCATTATGATCCATGATTGTCCAGTATGCTGGATCATGCTTGAAGCACAGCACACTGCTCGAGTGATTAGATGCTCGAGATTATTGCGCTCGTGGTCGTCGTTTGTGCTGTTGTTTTGTGAAAAGATATGCGAAAACCTGAAGAACCACACATTTCTGCTCGTTTAAAGATGCAGCATATAACTTTATGTAACGTATAATGCAATATATAAAATTATATAAACAATAATATATATATATACATTATACAATGCACATAATCATAGAAATGATATGCATCATATAAACAATGATATGATATGTACATAGTGCTATTATCCCTATGTTGTTCTACAATATTCCAACAGATCAGCATTCATTGCTGGCTTCACCGGGCACCGTTTGGGGCGCTCGGAGGCTGATATCATCAAATGCCGCGCCCAGCGCGAGCGCATGATTTGTCAGTGCCACATGGTCACGCAGGCGGAACAAGAAATGGTATCATTATGTGGCGTTAATGTGTTAAACCCAATGATAGACCATTGGTAATTAGTCCAATATATATATATATATATGTATACACACATATATCAAGTACCACCCAAAACAGGTACATATATATATATATAATATACATATTATAGACATATATGTTTGTCGTGGCTATCTTTGTGGAAGATGTTATTTTTCAATTTTCTAAATTATGTATATATTAATTACTTTGAGAATAACAATTTTACCAATGATTTCTGTTGGGGTGGCAATGGTGACAACCGCCAACCATGTAGATGAGTTCAGAAGCCAGTTCAGGGTATATGTCCTAAAAAAGCAGGCTCACCTCATCAGAAATGATGCTTTGTAGCGCGCATCATCCCAAACATATCCATGTTTGCAGAGTTGTGGAAAAACAAACTGATTTCCTGAAAGCGTTGTTGATGACATTGGCATCTTTGGGCATGTCTGTTTGGTGTCTTGGACTGTAACTTCAGCGATGGACACGGTCTGAGTTATTTATCATACCTCGCAATTTGCAATGTATTCATCTATCGACCTACCCTCTTTATCTGTTTCCCAAAAATGGGGATACCCCTAAATCATCCATTTTTTCTTAGGATTTTCGCATAGAAACCATCTATTGTGGGGTACCCCCATGGTAGAGCATCCAACCCATCCTCTGTGCAGGTCATTGAAGTGGTGGATGACTCTCTAGGCCCGCTGAAGGCGCGATTGGATCTTGGTGCTTCATCCTACCTACGGCGCTACGGCTATGGAGGTTTCCATCAATGGGGACCCCCATAATTGATGGTTTAATCATGGAAAACCCTTTGAAAACCTATGAAAATGGATGATTTTGGGGTACCCCCATTTCAGGAAACCTCCATACATATATATATATATAATTATATATATATAAGTGGGATAAGTAGAAGTGGTTCACCTTTCTGGCTGGAGGAATGTCACCTTTCGAATGTGGTCTGTTGATCCCAAGGAGTTCCCAGAGAGTTCTGGGTGAATTTCAGGTAATTAACCAGGTATTATTTCTGGTGTTAACCAGGTTATTATTCACCAGGTATTTAACCAGGTATTTGATAGTTTACCAGGTTATTATTCACCCGGTATTTATATAATCAGGTATTTGATAGTTCTTATTAACCCGTTAATTACACCTAGTATATTCATGTTGGAGGGATCCCAACCATGTGATCATATCTGCAGTCCCAACAATAGACCAACGTTTTCTGGACCCATTGAAAGCCCAGGTTGACGTGGGTTGACGCGCCCCAGTTCGTTAGCTCTGTTAGGTTGGGGTAACTCCCAATTTTATGAGGGTTTGTAGAGATTAAATCTATTAACTGGGGAGTATCACAGTATCACCCTGTCTAGCTTTCAGTAGTTTCTTGATGTCAGAGACTCCATAGCAACCCGCATCTTCCCACGGTGCGGGGCATCTTGTGAGGAGTGGATGGAAAAGCGTCGCACGCTGAAAGCTGAGGCGCCACCTTCAAGTTTTGGGGGTATACACCACTTTCCAGACATACGAATTTAATCTCATTTATTTTAGATTTTAGTTGTCTGCAACAACTATTCTGGTCACTCAGTTTTGTTTATGCTATTCCAGTTTCAGTTGCTTGTATATGAATGCGAGATCTATTGACAGATAATACACCATCTATTTTGGTCTCAAAACAAGGGTACCAGGGTTTGACAAATCGCTACAAGCAAACATCATTAAAAATCCATAGATCTCTCAATATTTCTTGACCACGTCACCATATCGTCACCATAAGTGATGGGTAGTAGTGGGAAGTACTTCAAAGGACCCATTTCAGCTTGGCCAAGATTTCTACACAGTGTGGCCTCCGCAGTTACATTTTGGTTTATAGACCGGTGAAACTGCAAAATACTCCAGGCCATTGTAGTTACAAAAAGGCCATGAATGGTGGATTATATAGTGTGTATACATAATTATACATATAATATACAAAAATATACATATAGTATATTATATTACACATAATGTATATTATACATATATTATGTGTATATATATAGTCTATAGTACATTAAATTGATGCTTGTCTGGATGATCCAGCTGAAAATTATTGACTATGTGGGGCATGTGTTGACTTGAGGTCAGCGAATTGCAAACACGCCTGGCTGAGATTCAGGAAGAAGTCTGTAGCCCCAGAGCTGGTTTCCTTCAAGTTGCTGTGCGTGTTCAAACATGCAGCATGGTGAATGATGCATCAAATTTGAAAGTAGTGTTGCATTTTATAATTTCATACTTTACAGGAAACGTATCAAACCTTGGTTTGCAGTCTTTGGTCATGTATGTCTGTTTATCTTGAACCCTTAGTGAGGTCGAAAAGTCTCCTGATATCTCCTGGTGGCTGTGAACACATTTTTTAACATTCGCAGGATGATCCCAATGACTTTGACCCGACTTTCGTGGGAATTGAATCCACCACTAAGTTTTCCAGAACCATATTTTGTATTTTTATTTATTCCTGTGCAATGGTAGAAAGCTCCCGTGGATTCGTTCTCTTCAGATATGTTGCTGCGCCTTCGACTTGTGCCACTTGGAATTCGTGTTTTCTGGAAGCAGAATGACCTTGGGCACCCTATGGAGGAAGTGGCCAGGAGAACTCGGCTGCTTCATCCAACATCCATCCATCCACGCGCTTCTCGCCCCGGGACCTGCGTTTTGGATCGGCCTCAAATGTAGGGGCGAGGTGCTGAACGCAAGCCTGCACCAAGTGAAAATTACAGCTGAATATTGCAACTATTATACAGTAACTTCTTCAAACATCTGTTTTTTTTCCGCCCACTGACTGTCGGGTGAGCCTATCATCTGACTGTCAGATCTCGCTGATTTTCATTGTCCGAGTTTCGTCATCGGTTTTTGCCGTAGGTCAAGAAGAAGGAGGCCGAAGTCGAGAAGGATCCGACGTCGTGACGTTGATGTCGCTGAAGTTAGTGAAGTACAACCGGGGAATAGAAAAAATTAGCCAGGAACATTGGGCTGGATACACGAGTGGGACTTGCTTTTGAAGCTTGAAACTATTACGGGCCATGGGTAAACAGATGCATTGCACCTTTGGCTGTTTCAATGACATGATGCTTGTGACGTCTCTGGAAAGTTGTTGAAGATGAGTCAGATGGGAGCGAAGGTTCCCTTTTGATCTCAGTTTACTATGCTGCCGAACATTACTGTAACACATTGGACAGACTCTCATTTAAACAAGTCCTTGATGCCCAAACCATGCAACCTCGAGGAATTCTTGAGGACAGAGACTTAAGTTTGGTGAATGCAGCCTAGTCCAAAATGTGAGCAGCGTGAATCTCCCAAAATCAAGTTCAACCACCAAAATCGACCAAATACGCGCAGTTAGACAGAAATTCACAAGGCTCAAAGAGCATCATTTTTTGGAGTGTCTCTGAGATTTGAACTTTGATTATATTCAAACCTTACATGAAATTGAGGTTACTCTTGCTCTGTATATATATATATTATACGCATTATATGTACATTATTACATATGCATATGGAATATATATATATATACACACACTTAAGTTTGTCTATGTTTGTCCAACATATACTAAGCATGTAAACATTTGCCTCTCCACACACACAGACATACAAACAGACCATTAAACTATATTATGTGCGATTATGGAGTATATAATATTGGGCCGGTCGGCATCATTTCAGTATCAAAAGCTTGCCACTTCCTGAGTTGTTTTTTTCTCCATGTATTCTCATTTACCTCTTGCATGGGTATTAAACCATGGGATACACATGTATTTGTCATCCTCATTGAAGATTTTATGTTATATATATATATTTTCCCATGTATTTGTTTCCACTTTCTATTTATCATGGGGATTACCGATGTATCACTCTTCTATTAACCACTCATTATTTTTGGCCAGGACGAAGCCGAGAAACATCGGACAGAGGCCTTGGTGAAAGTCAGCAGCCAGGCGGGCCATGGCGGCTGTTCGAAGTCTAACTTAGTGGTCCCGCAGTGATGTTATTTAGCAGCAGCTTAGCTAACTATGGGGAAAACACCAACTTTGTAAACACCAACTTAGTTAATACATGTTAATATGCAATTCTTAGCAATATCTTGAAATATCCAACTTAGCTTAACTTTGTAAAGAAAAATGTCTAAGAATTAGATATTGGTAAGTTAAGGTTGAAATAACGAGGCTAACTAGGGGTTCTGATAGGTACTGTAGTTTGTGACTTTGTGGGGTTTGAGCATGGGGAATGGGATAAATTGTCAAGGTATATTATATATATATGAATGCGCATAATTATACAATTATTAATTATACATATGCATACCATCAACAAAGGTGTTCGAATAATCCAACTGCATATTATGAACACATCCATGCTTTCAAACCTTTTTTCAAACACTTTAAACGGGATAAGGTAAGCATACGACATACGACAACATAGAACCAGCAAACAGGCTGGGATAATGCAATTCGTTGATCCATCGATGTGGGATCCCGTGATAGCGGTGGTTGAAGCTTTGGAAGTGCCATTTCCACTCCAGTTGACAAAATCGCTTCTTATGTTGAGGAGCATGTGAAGTCGATCTTCGCTTCTTATGTTCTAGGTCAATCTTGGATGGGTAGAAATTTCCATCCTTTAGTCTTTTAGCATCAATGGGATTGTCTACTAACCAGCTAAGTTTTTTTTTTTTTGCAGGGTATCTAATATTGGCCATGTGTTGAGGAACATCTGAAGAGAAGAGTATGACCCGACCCTCATCCCATGTTTTCGCAGAACCAGAAGTATGTAGCCTGACCATGTCCCATATTTGTATACAGTTGGTACGTGACATGTGAAGTCAGCTCTCAATCCATGAGAAATGGCTGGACTATGGTGGACTCCCAGCGCCCAGCAAATCCGAAGCTTAGGATTGCTGCCAGAATCTGCAGCCTTTCTCAGAGTTTTCTAATGGTTGCGAATGAAAGGAATGGTATGAAGAAAAATTGACTTCAAAAACAGCTTGACCATGGTGATTGGGGAAGTCAGCATTCTTGTCATATTCTACGCTTTACGCTTGCCATGCACTTCACCAATCTCTTCACCAATCTCTTCCATTTCTGTACTCAAATGTTTCGCGCGTATGGAGTTGCCTAAGGAGAATTCTTTTTGTGTAGATCTTTGAAATAGCCTGTAGGACATTCCCTTGTGCATAGATATCTAATAGATGGGGGGAATAAGTTAGTGGAATGTGGAACATGGCAAGAATTGGATAGTCCACATTCTCCAAGCGGATTTGAACCATTGCAGGAAAATCATGCGAGTTGACCCTCAAAACGTAGCGGCCTGGAAAGATGTGTGCAATTATTGGGAAGCAATACACATTCCTATGGTCCTACGGTGGATGGTTGCGAAATCCTGCACTAGTTGGACCAGTTGAAAACGGTGGTAAACAAGGCTTTGAATCATCGGTGATGCAACCAAATGCGATGAGGTTGCAACATGAGAACAACTGTACTGCTTACTTTGCATTCCTGGTTCATCATCATGGAGACAAAATGCCACTTGAAGGGAGGTCTTTTGTACCCCAAATCGCCGCAAGATCCTGCGCTCCGCCAGGTGGTTGCGTTGAAAACTGCGCGCATTCGAGATGCGAAAGAACATTACCAGGCCGGGGCAGCCGTTTTTGTGAGAATCCCTGAGAGATCAACTTGGATATCTTGGAACATACCACCAACAAAAAGTGGGCTTTGGATTGAAACCGTCAAAAGTGCAGTATGGTGACAATCACAGTGTTGTAACCAAGCATATATGTGTATATATGAAAGTCATTGAAAGTCTATATATTATATATAATATACATACATCCCCCAATCATAGACTCATTCTGGTTCCTATCTCCCATCGTTGGTGTTTGGTCTGTTTGGTGATACCAACTTGGCTAAACCAACTTTGCTAACATATGTGGCCCACGACTGACCAGTGCGGTCGCCCGCGCCAGATGAAGATGTCGGTCGTGGCGGGTGTCTTACATCCCGACACCCTGCAGGAATTGAGCAGCCATCAGAAGGACCGGATGGAGGATGTGCTAGCTGGTAAATCCCAGCTGGGGTTCTTTTCCAGATAGAACCACGTGTATATATAACATTATATAACTGCAACATGGTTATATATGCTTATGCAACATTGTATGCATTATAGAAAACACATCAGCCGTGAGTCTCAAATTGACCAAACAAGTATTGAACCAATGGCGTAAAGATCAGGCTTCCCGGCTCAAATCGAGCTGTAGTGTGTACATCTAATATGTATATATATGTACATATACATATATATATATACATATATAAATATATATATATGTGCTAAATAGTTTATAGGTTATGATATATATATATACACAGATTCTTCTGGGGACTAGGTCCATCGGGATACGCATGAACTTCAAGCACTGATTTCTGGTGTTACCAACCCATTGAGCAGCTGGAGCAGGGCTTGCAGGCAGGGCTTTGGTGTGCCGGTGCAGTACATCATGCGCCAGAAGAGACTGCGACAGCTCGAACGCTTCTGTGCCCAGGCAGCGCCTGTGATCAACGAGGCGTTGTGAGTGGTGGCTGCTGTGCCGTTCTGTGCGGTTCTGTTGGAGCAGTGAGGTGGGCAACTTCTGTCACGAGCTTTGGAGCTGCAAGAAAACCTGGTCACGCTTGTCACCTTGGAGGTGAAGATGGTGAAATGGGAAGCCACTGACTGAGATGTGATGTCTACTGAGATGTGATGTCTTGGGCTTAAAAATGAAGCGCCAGTGGATCCACAATTTGGTTAATTCTAGTTGTAGATCAACAATTTTGGGATATGTTTCTTTCCGTGTTGTGAATCAGTGAATCATTCACCGCAGTTGACAAGTGTTTATTCACCACAGTTGACAAGTGTACCCCCAGAATCGAGAAAAACACATTGCTTGTGAAGCGGAACGCAAATGAAATTGTAAGAACAAATGGTCGGCATCAGATATGAAATAGCCTCAAAATTAAGTGGATGTGTACTCAAAAATGTGTTCCCCTGGCTCTTAAGTTTGACTTCATACTTCATAGCCGATAGATACCAATAAATAACAGTGGAAGATCCCGGTTGGATCTTCCATTTTTCTACAGAATGGCAGAATGTCTTCAACATAAAATTTGCAGGAACCCTATACATGGCATGTTTAAAGTAACGTGTTCAAACCAACATTTGGCGTGAATAACCATGGTTTACTAATGTTTCCTTCAATTTTTGCCAGAAAAAAAACAACCTGTTACTTGCACTTTTTCTCTCCAACCAACCCTTCACTAGGAAAGTGTTATGGTGTCGCAGCTTGTCCGGTGCCTGTGCGCCCTTGTAGGCACGGCAGTGGGACGACATAATGATATTCTTTTTGATTCTTATTGAGATTCCAACATTCAAAAAATGCTGGCCATTGTTGGTAGCTTGAGTCCTCCGGAAGCGTCGGTTCCGTTTCGAATCTGTTCCGTTTCGAAAAGAAGTACCGCAGTTTTTTCCGTTTTTGCCATGTGGTGCAATATTTGGTGCAATAACTATAGGCCATAGCTACTGGCACTGGATCCATCAAGGGCTTCAGCCTCCGGTAGTTTCACCGTGAACTGGAACATCATCGTTTTGTCCGGTAAACCCATTGTTTTAAACGAGCCATATTTGCCATAGCTTTGTTAAAGTACCTGAGGGTAATGAAAAATAGCCTGGACATGTATGTATATATACACACTATGTATATATATATATATCATCAGTACCATACTATCAGTAGCATAGCTATGTTAATGAAGAAATCAGTTTGACAACATGACGGCGATATCGCCCCAGCTTTCTGGGGCCTATGAATTTCATCCTCCAGGTCTTGGCAGCTCACCTTTGCCGCTGGATGGAAGCCTGTGGCCTGGTCAGGACAGAACCAACCGTCAGGAATAAAGATATGGATGGGTGATGTTGTATGTTGTTCTTCTGTTCTTTTATTTATTGTTATTTTTTTGAAAAAATACACTTTACATGGTGGTTCTGTGGTTTGTAGTGGAAATTCCCGTCGACCAACCATGTCTTTTGTGATGTTCCAACAAGTTGTTGACACTGCTCAAGTAGGCTGGGGAGATACGGGGAAATAGGAATTTCATTCAACAGAACCGTAGCCATCAAAATGCCTGCGAGATTCAAATAAATACATATATATATATATAATACTTGGGGATTGAAGCAAAATATGGTCATTGACATACTTAGATCATCAACATGTGACTCCCAAGAATATGGGAATACATGGGAATACAACAACAACTGTGGAGCCACCCAATAAACATTGACATATTCAATGGATCATAGCCAATGATGAACGGATATAAATGAAAAGATGATGATTTGGAGGTCCTTACTTTACTACCCTCTTATCTAACTAACATAGCTGTGCAACATTGCTCATGTATAGATGATTTACCTGTTCAGATGGTGATTTTCCGTCCCTATGTTGGTTTACCAGAGGGTATCCCATACGATCCATTATATATAATCTCAGATTATCCATGTTTATCCCATGATAATCCCATAATTTACTTTAAACCATAGCATGTACCAAGTGTTGATGTTAGCCATGTCTGCGGCTGTCCAGTGACGTTCACCAGCCGAACGCCGAAGTCCATGGTCCCTCTAGATTCATCCCAGATTATGATAGATTATGAATATGTTGACCAGATATTATTGCAAGAAGCACCCCACAATACATATAGCTATTATAGACATTATTTAAATATATATATATATATGTATTTATATTTTATATTATTAACATACCTAGATCATACCTATTGATTTATATGCTATTTGTTTTCTATATATATTATATTATTATTATTATTAACATACCTGGATCATACCGATTGATTTATATGATATTTTTCATATATTATATACCTTTATTACATGTATTTTTTAAAATGTTTTTTTTCATGATGTTCAAACGCCATGGGTTTTTTGGTTCAGGCTCCTCGGACGTATGGTGATCACTGAGGTCTTCTCGGCTCACTGGGGTGGACCCAACAGTTGTCACCAAGGACGAGTCTTGGCAGTTCTATGGGATGAACCGACTGAGAACCAACTGGAGAAATGGGCACAACAAATGGGAATTCTATGGAATTCTTCATGAAAGAAATGGACATTGATTGGAAATTCTTCACATCTGGCCAGAAATGGGCATAGAAATCTGGAAGTGGGAGGAAAACTGAGATTTGCATAGATTTTCGAGGCTGAATCTATGATCATCTATGTGAATCTGAATCCAACAGACCCCTGGAGCCACTGCAAATTGAAATCATTGAGGTCTCGAGGGAGAGAGGAATCCTGTCATGTGTGTTGTGACTTGGGGTATACCGTCACATCGTTGACAGTGGGATTTTCAGAAACTGCAGCTGATTTGGGGGGCCACCTTAGGGGCTGATGAATTGGTGAATCCTTACCGATTGCTGGATACATCCACCTAAATACATGTTACATGATAATACATGTATGTGTCTACGTATGTACAATTATGTACGTACATTTATATTATATAATCATATGTAATTATAATATTAAGTAATTGATTTATTGTTATTATTATTATTAATATATCTGTAATATATATATATATATGTACCAGCCCCTCCAAATCCCCCCAGGCCTCCCAGGCATGTATGTCACCGGTATCCCTCCCCCCCCAGAGGTGGCGGTATGTGGTGGGGTGGGATGTCTGCAGGTAGGCGTCGATGCAAGTATTCATCTCTCCTCCCCCTGTAGTGGGGGTATGTTATGTTTGTATGTATGTGCAAACCTGTCCCCCCGAGGCTTGGCTGCTTACAAATGATACAAACCTTTCAAATATATGACAAGCCTGTTTCCCCCGGTGCTTGCTGACTGCTGGGCGGGTATACCATTGGTGGGGAAGGCGGCCGGGGGACGGGATCATACACACGTGTTGATAGTTTCCCTGTATATGTAAGCAATTATCCGCATAATCAGTGAGTTTCATTTCTTTTGGACGTATACCCGGTGATATCCACATTCTCTGGATATCTATGTGTAGCATCAACTCTAGTGAGACTACACTATCTGCATCCCAGCTGATGAGAAGTGGGCTTATTACGGGCTTGCGAGCTTGTTTGATGGCTAAAACATATACTTGGGTCGTATCCCAAATTTTGGTGCTTGAATCAGGATTTTTCATGACTGCAAATCAGGGTAATTTCATCCTAAATCAGTTTAAATCAGGCTAAAATCAGGTTACAGTAGATCAGGTTAAAACTAGATGATTTCAGCTTAACATCAGCCAAAATCAATTAATGTCTTTAAATGGATTTAAATGGTGCCATTTCTTCCACCCTGATGTTTTTTCACCGTAAGAATTTCGCAGGACCTGGTGGAGCGAATGGAGGACATTCAGCTTGGCACGGCGCCCAGTTTGCTATTGAACATGACCCATTTATAGTTGTTTTACCCAGCTATAACGTGGTGGTTTTCCATAGTTTTTTTGTATGTTTACCAGAGGGTACTACTATGTATTACTTATTTATGTATAATGGAGTAATGAATATAACTTATATAACTTATACAACTTTATCATACTTTATCTCAATAACTTATTTAAATGTTTAACTTCAACAAACATACGCTGGAATCATGGGAATCACACCAGGGATGACTCACGAGAAAAATGGAGATGATTTAAGCAACAAACGCATGGGATGTACCCAACAAAATGGAGGTTTAACCGACAACAATGGAGGCTTAACCAAGTTCAATGGTGGAATAACAGGGAGATAGAACCTTGCACAAAAATATTTAAGCAAAACGCATGCGGATATTATGGGGATGTAACCAAGAATTCTAGGAAAACCAACTGGATGATGATTTTAGTACTGCTTAATCTTTCGCCACAAATATAGAATGATACATATATATATATATATATTATATAATATATATATTATATATATATATATATATTAAACTTGTGATCACCATTGGGCTATCCCAAGATAGGCAAATGTCACGATTCGGGCAGATGGGAGCCGTATGGAGTCAGGGAGGCCCATGGAATCCATGGAACATGGAAAATTTGATTTTTTGCCTTAAATTTAGTTCGATGATTGACCAAAACATGGGGATGGTCGAGCTTTTTCATAGCAAACTGTGGGTCATTACTTAAGAGGCTATATTTTTCATTCCATTCTTATCTAAGTAACAGGTGGGAAGCCAAGAATCTGATTATCTTGTGACTTGACATCACCATATGAAGCTGTTTCAAGGTGGTCAACCCCCTGGTTATAAGGTGGTTTATAGTTCCATGTCCCATCCAACTATTTTATAAGTACCATAAGTTGATAGTTGACCTCACTATAAACATTATAACCAACTTAGTTCACATAAGATTTTCCCCCAAGGAGAGGAATTGGAAGATTTCTCGCGTGCCGCGCGTGTGGCTGTCGAGGCCGTGGGGTTGAGGTGAAGGTTTTTTGTTTTTTTTTGCTCTGGAAATGGGAGTTGGGAACCAAACATATATATATATATATAATTATATATATATATACATATTTGTTGCCAGATTCGGGCTCATCCCAGCTGCCTGATATGTTGAAAGCTGAAATCGCCAAACAGATACAGTATGGGGATCTCATGCGAACCAGCGATATGAGATGTGTTTTTTCCCAAAGCTAAACGATATCCCGAACTTTGCTGTTAAATTTGGGACATTCTTTTTCAAACCATCAAATTCATAGGGTTTTTCCAAAAGTGTCGGACAAAAACATGTCCTTGCTGGGTGGTCATACGGCAAACTCAAGCAGAAGCCATCCCCAATTTTTACGGCAGTGGCTTGTAATGAGGTAAGCCCAACAAGAAACCCGCCGGGGATGATGATTCTTGCAACCCATTCATTTACTATGGGGTTTACCTCACTATAAACAAGTCCATGGCATAGGAGGTTTACGGCATTGGGTATATGGTGGGTTATATAGCATATTTGGATATACATTCGCAATTGGTATGTGCTTATATGCATGTTTACAACGCATTTCTAAATTAAATTGGATACGTTCTAGCTATGAACGAGCTATGTATTGTTCTATACATTATCTACTGTAAATAATTAGAATATATAGGTAAATGTGGGCTATTTGCCATTTGCTAACTGAGAGGCATATCCAAGTAGTCACCACTATGACTAGGGAACTTTCCTGGGCGTGGCTCATAAGATCTCACAAGTTTTCAGGCAACAAATCGACAAATGTCAAGCTTGCTGACCCTTTGTTTCATTTGCTTGTACGTACATATACATCATGTTTGTCAGTTATACATATAATTATGTGTATTATATTATATATATATATATTGCATTTAGATAGTGTAAATCCCTTTGTAGAAATGGAAACCATGGTCCCCAAGATTTCGTTGAAGGGGTACTGTATTACTGTAACAAAAAAGAGAGCTCCCCGTGCTTTGTGCGGGCAAATCCAGATTGCATTTCTGGAGGAAATGTGCAGATTTACCACCTCACCATGATCACGTAAACCGCACGTTTGGGTATAGCTTACTGGCTTCATGGCTAGCTATACAAAGGGGTTATGTTTTGTTTTTTTTTGTGCAGATGAAAAAACTAACTTTTTAGTGCGGTATCTTCGGTTCAGAAGGATCACAATACCCTTCCATCCACTGACATAGATATATGGACAAGTGCCTTGCCAGAGTCGATTTCCAGTAAACTCATGCAATTTCCAACCTGGATGGTGTTTGGTAAATATGCAATCCTTGATTTTTTGGATATATATATATATAGCTCAAATATGTTCAAGTCATTCGCGTCTACAATTGTTTGCCCTGTTTGATTATCTATATATGCGGACACCTGTGAAGCTAAACCAGAAAGGCAGAAAGTGCCTACACGCGAAGCTGGTTCCGAATAACTATGATTTATGCATGTGTATGATACTTACAAGTAAAGTTAATTGAAATTATAGTTATAAACATATATATATAGATTATATTATATTATATTATATTATATTATATTATATTATATATATACATACATAATGTGGTTTATGAACCAACATACGTAACAGTCAGGTGGCCCCACTTTGTATCAGTGAGGACCTGATGGCCTATTTTGAAGCTCTTGGCAGCCTGCAGAGGTGCGGTTGCTGGGACGAAAAAAAAAGTGGCGAATCCTGTGGCGGGAAGGGATAGCTCCAAACAAGGAAAAACAAACACTTGGAACTTGGGAATACTGCAATATATATATAATATACACATATAATCATATATATATATATATATACATACACATGGATGTTTAATGATTTTAACGCCTATATACATACTATAATTGCTCAGGATAGAATTTCAGAGTCTGGCGTCCTGGGGACTTCTGGCCCCTCATGTCATTGATTTACGGGAAAAATTACAGGACAACCCCAGATTTCATGAGAAAAACATGGAAAAACAATGGTTTCCTCTAGATTTTGCCTTAAACCAATCCAATGAACATTGGCTGTTCAATACTTGAATCATCCGGGAGGCCTGTACTCCAAGCAGCTCGCTTTAGTACACGGAGCCTAGGTGTTTTGCAATGCCCCGTGGAAAAGTTGAAAACGAAGTCACAAGCGGACAAACACAAAAGAAAATACAGACATTGAAACAAGAAGAAACAGCGTAGAACGCAAAAAAAAATACTATCAAGAAACTGGCTTGCTCGGCCAAGTTCCAGAACAAGGCCAGTGACAATACAATACAACAAGGGCCTGTCTTATTTGGACTGGCAAAACAAGGTGAGTCTACAACATCTTTCAGTAAGAAGCAGACATGCAAAAACAAATAAACTCAATATTTGGATGAAGGATGCTCAATGAAACGTCCATGTCGCGACTCAACTTCAATGGACGAACAAGCAAGGTCCGTCAAACATCAAAGCTCCAAGAAGTCAGGCGCAAATGCACGAATTAACACATCATCACTGTGAGAGCGCAGTTTTGGCAAACACAAAGAAAACAAACAGGTGAAATTCAGGAGAAGTCACCGCCTTTGGCGTTCTTGTGTATATCACTATATACATCTATATACACAATGTCACAATTATTGAAGATTATATACATATGCAAGAGCAACAAGGCACGTGTTATTCAACAAGATAGTCTAAGATAGTGTTTTGGACGATGCAGAAACAAACATATGATATCATATGATATCATAATATGATAATATGATATCATATGATTGTGGCTTGTCTGAAATCAAGGAGTTACGCCTAATTTCTCGCCAATATGGGTTATGGAACTCAGAAAAGATGTGCTTGGCATTGGGTGATGATGGGATAAACTAACGGGTGAGTGGCCTTCATGGTGTTCCACGCGGAGGCTTTGAATCCATGATGGGCATCTGGATTGATATGGCTTGCTTGGTGAATGGTGACATTTTGGAATCGTCGCATATTCTGGCCAAGAACAAGGGCTCCTGTAAGTAAGTCCCCTGCTTCCGTGGTGTTTGATTGTTTGAGTAGTGCCATTCCGCTGTCCCAATGCTAACCAGTTTCCTTCCAGCACATGCAACATGAGTTCCATTGACACATGTTTTTGAAACACCTGGGATTTTGCATGTTTTCATGACCAGAGACCTCGTCGAGTCTCAACTTGCAGGGCACTTCAGCGAGACGGAAATGCAGAGGAGGTTCTGTTTGAAGAGGAGCCGTGAAAAATGGATCCCCTCAGCTGCAAGCTGCAGGTTCAGTGAATTTTCGGGGAGATTTGACCTCCCAAATGGCAGTTTCAATGGGAAAAATGATGATAGTTTAAAGATGTTTAAAGTGAGGATTCAAAGACCAACCCAAATGTGTGAGTGTAAGGGTTCCGCATTTATTTGTGGGTATTTATCCATTATACATATTCATGCCATACATGTTACGCACTGGAAACCTGTTGGGATGATCAAACCAAGACTTGACAGCCTGGTGTACCCCAACTCGGGCTACCAACCGTTCCTCAAAAAAACAAAAAAAAGGTCCCACGTAGATCAAACATTTGCTGGCTTGAGTGATTTTTATGAACCCTTACTGTAACCGTGTTCCAATATTCCTTCAAACTTATGCCAACATTCCTGTAAATATTCCATTCTATTCCTGCAAATATGATCATAGATTATTCCAATAATATACCCTCTGGTAATTTAACATAACTATGGAAAATCACCATTTTTAATGGGCAAAATCCACTATAAATTGCCATTCTCAATAGCTATTTTGTCATAACCAGAGGGACTCCTCTCAGGAGGAGCGCCTGGCAGAGGCCAAGGCGCACCTGACCTTGGCACGCGACGCGCTGCGTGCCTCGGACGCCTCGGACAGCGCCGTCGCCGAGACACTGTACCCGTTCTGGGATAGTCATGGACAATTCTGGGATGGTGAAAAAAAATCATCCCAGAATATTTCGGAATTGATTTCACCAGAATATCCATGGTTATTACCCAGAAATCATGATTATCCCGAAATTATCATCCCAGAATAATCCATGAACAATTATGGATGATAATTTCGGAATAATCATGATTTCTGGGTAATAATCATGATAATCTCATAGTGATAGTAATGGATAATCCATTTACTATACTTCTGGGAACTAAAATCCCAGTGATAAATGGAGATTCGTGAGAAATATTGAGTAATAATGGGATAATTTGGATAAAACGATGTCAAATGGGTAATTTGGGGTAATCATGGGAGAATCTGTCATAGTAATGTAGTGGATAATCATGGGATCAATTTAGGGTAAAACCCATGTCAAATTGTGTATACCCGTAGCAATGGAATGATGTAACATAACACCCTTTTGTGGTTGGTTGATGGGATCATTCATTATTTAGTTTACCAGATTAGCGGCTATACTTGGATGTGCATCCCAGCTAGTAAGTGGTGCAACAACACCCTAAAGCGTCTTATATAAGCATGTACCTAGGGTACAGTATGGTTAATACCCATTTACTCACTTGGATGTTATATTTGGGGGTGCAGTTGAAATTACACATGATGTAGCCATAGTTGTAGGGGTTGTATCTCAACTTATTGGCTTATTACCATGCTTATTATACAGACTAACAACATCAACTGCACCCTCAGTATAACATCCCAGTTAGTAAACGTACGCATTGAAATACCTATCATTCCCATTGATATCCCTACTGTTGTTGGTCAATCTCATAGACTCCTAATTTGTCAACGTCTTTCCATTATATTTCTCACCATAAAAAGATAGGGTTTTCCCATAATATTCCCATGATAACCCATTTTAAATGCTTCGTGAAGTCCCCACAGTCCATATCTCTGCTGAGCAATCCCACGGCTTGAGATGGCTTCAACAAAACACGCAAGCCTCTGAGGAGACCTGCAGCAGGAAATGTCGGAGGTGAAGGCGTCCAGATGACTGGGTAAAACGACTTCATATGGGTAAAACAATGTCATTTGCACCATCCCCCAGAAAAATCACCAGTTTTATAGGGGGTATGTTCACCATTCCCAGTCATGGGTGGTAAAAATGGCATGGTTTTACCCACACTATAGGGCTGACCCAAATCATCCAGTCGTCATGACCATGACATAGTATTGGAACCCAGACTTGGAGATCCCCCATTTAGGAAACTTCCATGTACCAGTGTAGGTGTTTGCCACAGTTGTGGTTGTATATGGTTCCATAATATACATTTATATAATTACATGGGGGGTTCTTAAAATGGGGGATACCCAAGTCACCATGGATTTCAATCCTAGAGACTAGAATGGTCATCCATGACTTGGATGATTTGGGGTACCCCTATTTTGGGAAACCTATATATTACATACATACATGCATGCATGCATGCATACATACATACATACATACATACATATATACATATACACATATACACATATACATACATATACATTACATACATTTACATACATACCTACATACCTACATACCTACATACCTACATACCTACATACATATATACATACATACATCCATACATCCATACATCCTTACATCCATACATCCATACATCCATCCATTTATCCATCCATACATACATACATCCAGGCATGCATGCATGCACCCATACATCCATCCATCCATACATGCATACATGCATACATGTATACATGCATACATGCATACATGTATACATGCATACATCCATACATCCATACATCCATACACCCATACATCCATACATTCATACATCCATACATCCATCCATCCATCTATCCATACATCCATGCATACATACATACCACACATACCACACATACCACACATACCATACATACCATACACATACCATACAGACCATACATACCATACATACCATACATACCATACATACCATACAGACCATACAGACCATACATACCATGCATACCATTCATACCATGCATCCATGCATTCATGCATTCATGCATCCATGCATCCATGCATGCATGCATGCATGCATGCACACATACATACACACATACAAACATACATACACACATACATGCATACATACATACATACATACATACACACATTCATACATACATACATACATACATGCATGCATGCATGCATGCATACATCCACACATGCACACATCCACACATGCACACATCCAAACATCCATACATGCATACATGCATACATGTATACATGCACACATGCACACATGCACACATACATGCATACATACATACATGCATACATGCATACATGCATACATGCACACATACATACATACATACATACATACATACATACCTACATACCTACATACATACATACATACATACATAACATAACATAACATAACATGCATACATGCATACATGCTTGCATGCATACATATATATATATATATACATATATATATACATATATATATATATATATATATATATATTCACCTTGTATTTGCACGTGTTGGCTAGACAGTAACTTATTGATTGATCCAAGATAAGGGGCAACACCTCATCGCTCACAGTTGTAGGCAAGTGGTCGGTTTATGGTCGATTTCTCCCTCTATTTCTATCATTTCAGCACATCATTGAAGAGAAACTGCAGCCGAACACTCCGATTGGTAAGTGGTTAAGCTACCATGCTGGGGCTTCCGCAGGTCCCAGTGGGATGTCGATGGTTTGAGATAGCTACAGCTGGCTACAACTATGAATCAGTCACTCAGACTCTGCCACATTTCATGTGACATGGAAGAAAAAACGCTCCCGTTCCTGGGAGTTGGAACAGCCTCCATGGACATTCAACCGATATCAGTTGGAGATTGCATCTTGGGAATTTCTTTGCCCAGCGTGTTGCGGGATGTTGGGGAAATTATTCCCTGGGATTATTTGGATGAAAAATTGCCAGGAACCAGAACCCCCTTCCTACATCCCTTGGTGTCCTATTGTTTTTTTTGCAGATGGTGTCAGTAGTCAAAGCTGCTTCAGGGCTCAAGCTCATGGACATCCATCAAGGAAGAGCAGAAATTTACAGCAAATGCCCTGCAAACCGCTAGTGTGGAGCAAGCATTTGCGGTTGATGCCGCACTGCTTCGATTCTTGAAAGCCAGGCAGTAGTCGTTCAACTAAGTTCGACATAGTTCGACTATGTTCAACTTGCATTTTTTGCATGATTGCATTGACGCTTTGAATCCAGAGACATCGCATACAGTGTATCCCTTAGTACTATACATCTCTTGGTACAGATCCAAGCTCGCAATGAAGATCCACCAGCCGCCCAAATCCATCTCAGCACCCGGAGTGGACACCGCAGGTGGCATCACTGTTCAATGTAAATGGTTACCACTTTGTAACATCGTTTTTATTTGAGCCCGTTGGTTTCCCAGTCAACTTGGGAATCAAGTCTCCTAGCCAGCTGTCATCAGCTGTTTCTGTTACCCAACCACCTTCACCAGCTTCAAACACAGCTTTCAGCACCTCATGGCCGGTCATGCTGAATGTCTTGCGCTTGGCGGCTCTAGTTTCTTGGCGTGAAACGGGTGAAACATGGTGAAAGCACTTGTCCCAGAAATGGCAGAAGGGAACATTTACAGGAAGCCCTAACGATCCCATATATATATGTATATGTATATGTATATGTATATGTATACTTTTAAATCCATGGTTTCCCTGCAAGCTTTGTCTTAAAGCAATCCACTGTGGTTTTCCGGTGATTGGGCGCCGGGATGGTCGGAATCGGGGGAGTCAAGACACTTTTTGGTGACCCGAACATAGTCGAGGCATGTGTGAAATGCCAAGGAATGTAGCTGTTTACAGTAGATGGGAATTATCCAAGTGGCAAACCTTTCATTATTTTCATTTGGAACCATGTGGGAGATGCACTAAAGATGTTTTTTTTCATGGGGATCCAAAATGATACATCATCCCCAAGTATCAGGCATTGATTTGGGGACTATGAACCAAATAGTCGGTGTAATTTGAAACCCCTACTGTTACAAAGTGGGCCACCTACTTGTAAGTTGGTTTATGTTCTCTCATGAAACTGTATCTGAGAGAACTGTATATATATACATACATACATACATACATACCATACCATACCATAACATACCATATCATATCACACCATGTCATTTCATATCATACCATATAATTTCATATCATATCATATCCATCATAAATCCTAGTTGTACAACTTGTTGTGCCTATTTTGGGGCATTGTAAAAACCTGGCCAACTCGGTCATCAATTCTTCGATAGCCAACTCGGTCACCTTTTCGGGCGGCTCCATGGGGACGTCTTTTGCCTTCATTTTTGATGTGAAACACAGATGGGAATGATAGGAAGGTTAACACGCTACGTAGTGAACATAGACTTGGTTGAAGCCCATTTAATGAATTCCCCAGCATGAAACTTCATCCTTCGGGGTCCCTTTTGGCTTGCTACTTGTATGACTTGCAAGGCATAGCGGCATAGCCATTTATGTTTGTTGCTTCATCAACTCACCCAAGTGCAGGTGTATATCAAACACATCCAACCCTGAGCTTAGTTGAAAGCAACTCTATTCCGCTGGTTACATCACACATGTTCCTTAATGTTGATGCTTAAATGCAATTTCTTTAACCATCAACTATAGTATGTTGATGCGTACGTTGATGGATTATTACGATGTACATATACGTGTATATATATATACATATATTATATACATACATTCCTACTATCCCTGTACTGAACAATAGCTAGTCAAAATCAGTTTATCCAACTGTCCATAGTTTTTGGAGCCCAACCAGTTGGACAGTTGGACAGTTGGACATATACCATTTTTGGCTTTTTGTTCCCCAACCAGGATGACCTGGATCCTTGGAGCCTGACTTCGCTCAGGCTTCGCTCCAGGCTTCGCTCTCGGAGGGCGCCGTGAGCTTCGTCGACTTGGAGCAGCTGCCACGCTCAGAGTCCCTGAGCGATGGCTTCAAGGTGCCCCAACCGGCGGAGCATCGATGGTGGAGCATTGAATTGGGAATTGAATGGGATTTTAATGGGATTTCAATGGTGACTGAAGCAACCAAATGGTTGACTTAATCAACAAATATGATGGTATAGTGGGGATATAATGATATAAATATACATATATATATAGTGGTTAAGTGATAATCTGAAGGAATTATATGTTGCAACCTCACGTCGTGACGTCACTGGAATGATGCTTAGGATTGGGGGAATGCCAGCTCAGACCTGCTGTACATACCGGACTAGGCTCCAAAATAACAACCAACATATTCACTTGCCAAAGGGCTGAGGTTTTACCCCAATATGGTCGAGTCCAGTTTACCATAGTATACTCCATTATATTACACCCTCAAAAAACACAAAAACAAGGATAGCTTAGACCATCCGCGGCAGGTGTCGTTGGTCCGGCCGGAGGGTGAAGTGGCGAACTCGGGGCAGCGGCTGGATGAAACAAGTCAAGTTCCCAAGGTCGGTTTGAGCCATAGGATGCTTACTTGGTGGCCCATCCCACTTATTATCCTCTGGTAATTTAACAAAACTATGGAAAATGGCCATTTATAGCTGATTTACCTATTAGGCATGGTGATTTTCCATAGCTATGTTAGCTTACCAGACAGGTTATAAGTGGATGTTTACCCTACAGAAATCCCACCAGGCTTAGAGGGATGAGCTACCAATATTTGCTGTATACGTTGATTTGACTTCACCCATCCAACAGTGTGACTCATGATATAGCCACCATAAACCATCACAAATCCCAGTTAGATAGTTAGCCTATGCGTAAGCCATTGTTGTAGTTTTTTTTTGTTTTTTGTTTTGCTCGCATGAAATGCCATGAAACCAAAGATCATGGGCCGCTGGTTGATTGCCTCTCCTTCCAGGGCTACAGTTTGATCGCTGAGGAAGACCCTGATCCCCCAGTCCAGCCTTCAATTGCTCAGTCATTTGGCCGCAGCAGAAGCTTTGAACAAACTCTTTGGGGACGGCTCAAACGTTGAGATATCATGAAGAGATGGTCTGGTTGGTGGTTTGGAACCATGGAATTTTATGACTTTCCCATCATATTGGGAATCATGCCAACTGACTTTCACTCCATCATTTTTCAGAGGGCTAGGTTTAGTTGGGTCATCCGAGTGGAACTGAAGAGACCAGATCATGATAGAAAAAATGAAACAAGCCTGCTGGTTTTCAGTGGGTATCCCCTTACTAAACTTACTATAGTGGGATACTCATGTTGTAAACCTAATAACAAAATATAACAAAAAACCATCCCCAAATTCATAAGAAATGGGTGCTATCTACATCCTCCAAAACTGGTGCTTTGTGGCATTGGGTTTACCACAGTGGGATTCTCAAACTTATCCCGAACCTTTCGTGGCGATTTTGAAGTCTGAAACATGAAAATGGGGTGAGTTCGGAAATTGGAGATTTAAGTACCCCAGGCTATATGACTAAGGAATTTTCAGATATCAAGATATGATAGGAACAAACAAGGGGATATGATAGGATATAATGTGGTATATAGCCAACATTAGCCAACAATATGAGCTTTGGATCTGTGAGAAACCGGGGATTGGCCCTAAAAATGCCATTTCAACAGGGAATGATGATAATCTAGCGATTCTTAGGCAATTTATTTATGGACAAGACATATGTTTAATACATTTTATATACAACCAACGGCATCATATTTTTTCAGGGTTTGGATTTAAACGACACTACCTTGCATGTCAACAACAAACATACTGGACTGCTGAGCCGACACATATGCGGTTCGTTTATTGTCCTACGGATGGTATAACCACCGACCAGAAGATGATTAATGCACGGATCATAGAGGGTTGTTTGACCTTGGTTACTAATTGCGCACCCTTTTCATGGAACTTTTGGGATTCTATGGAATTCTGATTAATTGTTTTGGGCGGAGTGTTTTGCCCATGATATTCCAGATGTTACAGCAGTCCTGTTGGAAACGGCAGAAGGACCAGGCAACATATGGCAAAACATCTTCGTTGGGCGGTTGGGCGCTTTGTTTTGTTCAGTCTTTAATGTTGTATATTTTCCTCCTCGTTCTATTCTTCCTCATCATGATTGTCTTCATGATCATCGTCGTGTTCACCATAATCACCACCGTCATGTTTATTCTTACCTTGATCATCAGAAGCATTGAGTCTTAAACCACCCACTGCACCCAAGCTGCTGATCATCCCAAGAAAAACAGTGGTGTGACCAGCAAATCAGAAAAAAGGTGGGATTGTCCAACGATAAAGCCAGGTAGATGAATTCATATGACCCGTTATTGGCCATTAGTATCCCGAAAATGAGATTGGATGATTGGACCAATATGCTGAATGAATGCATTCAGAATGGTAATATCTAGGAACATACCCTGCTTTATAAGTTATTTATAAGTTCTATAAGTGCTTAAGCTGCGTGGTTCTCCCGCAAGCTGCGAAACACCCCTCCTTGCCAGCGACAAAGAAATCGAGTCATCAGGGACAACCAGATGTTCATTGCAACCCATGAAAAAGTCACTAAAGTAAATCTCTGGTTGGTGGTTTGGAACATACATTTTTGTGACTTTCCATATATTGGGAATAATAATTTCAACTGACTTTCATATTTTTTCAGAGGGGTTGAAACTAATCGATCTTATGGAACACCTTTGATGTGGGTGACCCCTGAAATTCACCTGAAATTCAATGAGACGAGTTGGGGCGACATAGCCACGTCACGCCTTTTCAGGTGATGAGGAGAGGAAGACCTTGGAGGACTGCGATCTGGGGACTTTAAAAGTACATAAGGATCAAGCCTCATGATTCAGAACGGTCAATATTATTGGAAATTGGATGAAATTGGAATCATTTTCAAACATCCCAACAAATTGTGTTTGCATTTTTAAAATATATATACATATATTTATAGATAGATAAATAGATATAGATAGATAGTTCGTTATATATATATATATATGATACACTTGGTTGAATATAAAAAAACAAAGACAGGACATACCAACCGTTTCAGCCGGGAGATCTGTAGGCACCGATGACTTCATCAATGGAGGTTTATAGCTGGGGAAAAAACAACATATGTCGAACATTAGAAAATGGATATCCTAAGGACAGTAGCTGGGATTTTAATGGATTTTATTGGATATTCACCTTATATCACCTTATAATATATAAAAAATGTAGGGGATTTTCCAGACAGCCATGGTGACACTGTAGGGGGTACATGGATGTGACAGGATGTGGATCAAAAACTATATCCTGTTAATACCATATTGCTGGGGGATGAACATCCATAAATCCCAGCTATTTCGGGGGTGAACAGAAGGGGACCAGAGTGCCATGACCCATAGCCACAGATGTTCATCGTCACGTCATGGAATTCATCCAGCTCAACGTTGATTTGGTAAGCTCGAATAGCATCTCCTGCCGGAATCAACTGCCTTGTCAGCCGTACATGCGATGGCGAAGAAGTTTCTTGTTTGCAAACTATCATGGATTGGTCCCCATCCGGCATTTGCTAACGATAACATGTGATTTTTTCTCTTTGGTGCATCTCCCATGTAGATGTAGATTCACGTTGTGTCATTTTTTTTCCATGGATTGTTCGCCCCAAGGGCAGCGAAACCAAGCACGACTCAGAGGACTACGATGCGATCTTCGAAAAGTATTCCATGTTCTGCAATGGCAGGCAGGCACCGCTGGCCGGCTAACGTCTGGGGTGGGTCCAAGTGCCAAAAAACAAATGACAAGTTTGTTTGGGAAAACATGATGATGGTATGCCCCAAAATGACACTTTTTAGAGGACATATGACCTGATGATTGAACCATATTAGAAATTGATGAAATTGGATGTCCCTGTACGTGCTTCGGATATGGAAGGAATGGGTTGGTAACTTTGCTGAGAGTTCTGAGTTCCATGTTTCAGGCAAGGTTGTGGCTGCAATAACATTTAAAACCCTGACACAGTGTTGGTTATTTCCGCATTATCCTAAAGTGAATGTGCAAATATGTGCAAATGTTATGTGTTTGTTCTGGTCAAAACCAGGTTTGCCGGGAATGCCAAGATTTAATCTTTGAAAGCCTCATTCTGAGTACAGTAGGTAACTTCAACCGGTCATGTCATTTTTGGTCGCCTTTTAAACGGTTCTAAAACCGCCCGTTCCAGGTGGTTGGGAGTGCAAGTGCTTCAAGACTCGCAAGACTTGATGTACCTGCAACACATCGTGCCACTTGGCGCAACAAAAACGAGCAGTTCGGGGTGCAAATCTCAGTTGGGTAGTGCAGTATTAAACATATTAATTTACCATCTGGCTATTTAACATAGCCATGGAAAATGGCCCATTTATAGATGGTTTACCTGGGTTTACCTATTAAACATGGTGATTTTCCATGGCTATGTTAAATAACCAGATGGTATATTATACTGAATTGTGTGTAATCTTGTGCCATACAATGATAAATGATGATAAATGGCCAAAAAAAACTGCAAGAGTATTTAGTAAACATAAATGATCACCACCGCAAGTTGGGATACATGCGCCGGTGTGGGTTGATGATCGCCACCAGGTACATGAAAAAACCTGATGCAATCATTGAGAACCGCGGCCGCATCAGGGGAGATGTTTGTTTGCCAAAAAATCCGGGCAAAGCTTGGGCAAATTCAGCTGGATGATGCTGAATACATTTTCTTTTGCAAATCAGGGCGACATCTAGTATATACATGTATATATATATATAGAGGCACACTGACCAGCTACATGTCAAAAGTCAAGAGTTTGTTTCTGTTTGGTTGGCTCAGTATCTAAGCTTGCCTATGTGCTGAAGGTTGTCCACGATGTTCAGACCATTCTGAAGTATGCCAATTCTTTAGCCATGTTTGTTCCCCCCAATGCAATGCATGGCTCCAAAAGATCCAAAGAAATTTTAGGTCACCGGGTCCAAGTAAAATTTGCTTGTCTCCCAGAAAATGATATCAATAATTCACCATCAGTAGATACTTCCTGAAAAGATACTCAACCATCATACGTCACGAGTCGAACTGAGTGCTTGGCTCCGAGTAGTCCTGGGCCGAAACCGGGATTTTGGATCCCTTTCAGGACTGGAACTTACAAAGGCGGCCTGACTTACTTCTTCGTTCCTTGGAAACTTCAACTGGTGGCCCAATTCCTGTTAAATGGGCAGGTGGGGTTCTACTGACTGGTTTGGAATCATGAAAAAGTCATATCCTTTCATGTCATTTCAGCACGTTGGCTGAACCCACCATTGGAAATCAAATCGAAGGCTTTGGCAAGTGTTGATTTGGCTGACTTTTTAAACCCAAGTGGGAATCCAATACAATCAGGGAAGAGGTAGCATCATTGGGGCTTCAATTGGACGGGTGTTGTTTGGCCCAACATTATTTTCTGGTTTCCTTGAACGAAGGGTGTTTTTTGGGAGTGTTCTAAACCCACTACTGTAGTCACTAGTGACATTATGATATTGCAGATGATCTGCAAAGTATCGAGGTGTTGAAAGCGATGGAGTGTGTAGTTTGTGCTTTACCTGAAATACAAACATGTCAACAACGTATAGACCCCCAATCTACCGCTAAACATGTTTGGTCATTTTTGCACTTGTTGTTACCCTCTGGTGAACTAACATAGCAATGGAAACTGGCCATTTATAGTGGATTTTCCCATGAAAAATGGTGATTTTCCATTGCTATGTTAGTTCACCAGAGGGTAGTACTTTCACTGTTTTATCCTTGTTTCGTGGCCAACTGAGAGTCACGAGACAAAAAAAACCCTTTCTCAAGATTTTGCCATTGAACCCCAGACGCTTCTGGAAGATGGTCATTCTTCAGGTTCCAACCCAGACATGTGTAGCTGTGGGTGTTGAGTCCACTTTTGCCTGGTGAAATCCTGCTTGTTCTTAATTGTTATTAGTAAAGTCCGAATATTTGCTGATGAAATCCAATGACTGAAACTCTTCGTCTTTGGTCAAAACCCCAGACAATACCGACATGTTCCACTGTTGTTGATATCATATTTGTTTATTACTTTACACCAGCAACCAAAAAGAATCAACAACTAGTAGAAAAGGTTCAATTTACACCACCAATTTACATCAATCATTTTGGATCTGGAGATGTTTTTTCATATGGTTTTTATACACGGAGCTTGCTAAGCAGTTCCCATGATGTTTTTACCCGAGGCTACCATCTTAGATTGGATCGAACGTGAGGGCGGTACAGCTGGAAGTGTGGTGTCTGTGGATCGACATCATCCAGATTTGGTACCTTGGTACCCTGCTTGGTTGGTAGGTGAATTAATCATGTGGCTGTTGAATGATGAACCGAGCATTTCAGTTGTTGCCATATGTCCTTTTCTTTCCAGTAGACATTAATTATCTGGGAAGGGCATATGAACTTGGGTTTTGTTTGGTGAGGCTTTAATTTAATTCTCAGCCAGCGTTCAGTTGCCGGAATTGGAAACTCTTGGTTGGAAAAGTAATAGTTTCATTGCCGGAGGTAATTGGCAGTAATTGGCTTATTATCTCACTTGTTGATTCACTGTTTGCGGTATCTACTGAGAATATGGCGTTTATTGTTTTTTTGTGTGTCAGGTGTCAGGTGGTGAGATTCACCAAGAGTTGTTGTCCCTTAGGCCCTATGTTTATTCTTGCGGTTTTCGCGCACATAGTTTACCGCTCCAATCTTTGTCGGCAAACCTTCTACTTTGAGAGGTGAACGGGATCAGCTTTGCCTTTAGTCCAAAGTGGTCAACCTGCTTCCCATTAAATGAATTTGACCCAACATATATCGATGTGTCCAAAAAAAATGTATGTTACCCAAAAATCCAAATGTGTATCATCATTTTCCCATGAAGTTCCAATAAATCAGGGTAATTAATGGTAATTATATATATATAATGTGTGTCCCATTCTTAGCAAATTTATCTCTTACTGCTCGTTATGTTATATTATTCATGCATTCGACCGCATTCCATTCTATCCAACACTATATCCAACTATATCCCACTATGTCCCACATATCCTCACAACATGGTTTGTTTTACACCCCGCTATGTTTGTTAGTTAAAAACACCAAAGTCCAAGATTTAAAGCGACTTTCTTTAGTGGCTGCTTTGTTGATGCTAAGTTTTCCCCGTGATTGTTAGTCTAAATCGCCCATGAAGTCTCCATGTTCATAGTATTCACCGGTTAAATCCCCATGTTGATGGTCGAGTCATCATTTCTGATGGTCAGATCTCCAGGTCTTTGCCGCCAACTGGTTCTGCCCACCCTGTGCTGACTGCGTGCGCTCCTATGAGACCCCTGTTTGGGAGCGGAAGGCGCCACGGCTGGGTTGTCCAACATGGGGATGTTTATCAACACACATTGGGGAATGACGGCCTAAATAGCCGAGTTGGTGTATAAGTGGGCAAATTTGGCTTTATGGGAAATATGATATAGTCTGACATCATATGACTAGAGTTGTTGGGGTTTTATACAGAAACTTTGAAAACTAGGGGCCGGGCACAGAAGCAAACCAACCTATGTGGATATGATGGAATGCATAACCAACAATGTGGGCTTCCTGGTACAGGATAGGTTTGTCCAAAAACAGGTAATGTGGGAAACCCAAGACCATAACCAAGGCTATAATATTTATATATATACACGGTATATATATATATGTATATAATATATGTACATATATACATATATATATATTGTATATATATATATATATATATGTTGTGTATATATATACAGTGTATATACACACTATATATAGATAGTGTGTATAATATATATATATATATAAACATGCATTAATTAAACATATATATATATATATACTGTATACATGTAATAGATACTATAATAGTTACTGTATATAAATATAGATATTTGTATTTATATTGTTTGATTCTAGCCTAATATCTGTAACAGTCATTAAAAGGGTTTTGTTTTTGGGACCTCCTCCAAAAACATCACCCCCAAAATGCATTATTTTGGAATAGGCTATTCGGGTGCTTTGTGATTTGTTTGCAATGTCTTCTTCACACTGCCTGGCCATCTTGCTCATGGCAGCCATTTTTCTAAAATTGCAGGGAACACAACTTCATTTTGCAGAAAGGATATGTTTCTTGCCATGTTTGGGCCATGCGGAACTTCAAGGCCAGATTTTCTGCTTGGCCAGATTGTTTCAAATGTGGAATTGTTGTAGTTGAGGGCTCCATTGTTGACATTTTCCTTCAGATTATGCATTCTATTTTGCTTTGCCACTTGACAAGTGGCTTTTGGAAGCCAACCAGAATCTGAGCCAGGTGCCACTTCGACTTCGGCTTCAGTTTGTCAGGGCCACCCAGCTGTTGTCTGGCATTTTGATTGCCTTTCCTTTTTTCATTCCAGAGTTTCGCGACAGTTCTACCAGTGGGCCATTTCAATTGTGGGATTCAATTTGAAGCACTATATGTGCCCAGTGCCAATTACACAAAAATAAAAGGGCCATTCTTAGGAGCCAATTTCAATTCCCAATTACCACATGGTCACTTGGCAATCGGCCACTGGTCAACTGCAAGTTGAAATGCGTTCTGCAATTTGTGATTTGTGAGTCAAGCCAATTGCTTGCACTTCAAGATTCCAATTTGATGACATGCAATCAGTATTGAGGGCTTGACATCATCTGACATGATATGTCCTGCTTGGGATTTGTTGATCCAACATCTTCAAGTTTCCAGCCGTTTGGCTGAAGCTTTCCTTTTTTCAGGTCCACTTATGGAACCCGGTTTGGTCCATGCCAGCGTTGGGGCCCTGGCATTGGGTTGCTTGAGGGAAAGCAGCAACAACAGCTGAGAGTTGAGAGCCAAAAAAGATTGCTATCGGCTATTGGATAAAAATGTTTTTGATCGTGGTGGCCATTTGCAGAATTATATCATTTGACGGCTTTAGCGGCGAGGAGCAAAGTGGCGAGAATAGATTTCCCAAACTTCCTAGATTCTCCTGGAAATTCCTGGAAATTCTTGGAAACATACATTTGAAGTAACACCCAAAAGGCACTGGATGCTACGTTGTAACATTCATTTCAAGCAACTCTAAGGCGCTCTGGATGCTACGTTGTAACATCCATTGCAATTAAATTTCCAAGAAGCTTTGGAAGTTACGTTTTAACATCAACTTGCATTGAAGTCACTTCCAAGATGCTCTGGATACTACATTTTACCGTCCACTTGAAGACATTTCCAGGACGCTCTGGATGCTATGTTGTAGTATCCATTTGAATCAATTTTCAAGACGCTCTGGATGCTACGTTGTAACATTGATTCGGAGGCATTTCCGAGAGGCTTTGGCTGATACGTTGCAACATCCCTTTGAATCAACATCCAAGACGCTCTAGATGCTACGTTGTCACAGACATTTCAAGTAACTCCCAAAAAGGCAGTGGATGCTACGTAGTAACATCCACTTGAAGTCACTTCCAAAACGCTACGGATGCTACGTTGTAACATCCATTTCAATCAATTTCCAAGAAGTTTTGCTAGCTACGTTGTAACATTTACTTGAAGTCACTTCCAAGATGCTCTGAATTGCTGCGTTGTACCGTTTCATGGACCTGCTTGGGAAAATGTTTTAGGTTTTACGCCCATGTCATATTATGGATCAGCTATGGACCACCCCATGTCTAGAAACTAATTATGGGAAACAGCTGGATAGAAGTGGATCTAGTGTTTCTTTGATTGGGATCTAATTCTTTCCCGTGTAGAGATGCGTTCATATGTGGATGTAATACTTTTTTTTTGGCGCTGTCCTCGCCTACCGCTGAAGCAGCCTTCACTTCACAGCATAGTCATGCGTTGAATGACTCTTACATCATTCTTACATCACCTAATCGAACTGAAACTGAACCAAGTGTATGTCTAGAGACAGCAATATAGTCCACAACGCCCATTTTTCATGAAAGGCCACATTTGGCATCTAGAAAAGCCTCCGGCCAAACTTATTTCACTTGCAATGAAGGAAGCTTATCATTTGTTCGGAAACAAGCCATTTCAAAATGTTCGGCTTCACCTTGGCGGCAGTGGCGGCTGTGGTGGCTGTGACGGCTGTGGCGGCTGTGGCGGCTGCTGGGTTGCGACGGCTGCGGCCTCTGTTGGATTGCAGCGGCTGTGGTGGCGGCGCCGCTGGCAACTGTCTATCAGCATGACAACTGACACAATGACAGTGGGTTGTAGTGTTTCACTCCGTTGCAATACGTTAGGACATGACACGGAAGGTCATGATTCTTCGCCTATATCATCTGGATCATTGTATCATGATGTGTTGCTAAAGGTATAGCCCAAAGCTGTTGACGTAAAATCTGCAACCAATGGATCATGAGCCTCATTGAGTTTTGAGAGATTTTTTGCACCTGGCTTGGCGCAAGTACCACAGGCAAGGTGCTACGGATATAGAATATTGATTTTCATGCTGGAAACATGAATCATGGAGGACAATCATAGACTGATGAGAGATGGAGGAAATTGAAGTTGCAGTGCCAAAACCGAATCAATTCGACAATCTTGTTGGTTTACCTTGGGCGAGACCCGCGGACGGACACACGGCATTGTGGCGAAAAGATTACAACCGTATCAACATGTAGGTGTCAGCTTAACACTGTGAAAGTGTTTGGGCCAAGGCTGTTCTTGATGTTGGTAAATCAACCTCCGACATTAATAGACTCATTAGCGAGCAGGTGCTTATTTCTGCTATTGCACGTTTCAATTGTGGCTGTTGCAATCTTGGGGTCGCTGTTAAATTTTATAATAGTGTGATGGGGGGCAATGGTCGGAATAGGGCGCTCAGAGTCATCCGTGCGAGTGGCGGCAACGGCATTTGCCGCGAAGAAAAAGCCTCCAAGTCGGTTGAGGGGGGGCAAAGCCTATAGGCAAGGTGGCAGGGCCACGTTAGGCCATGGTTTACCTGAAGACACTTCCAGGATGCTGTGGATGTTTGCTGTAACTGACATTTCAATCAACTTCCACGACGCTCTGGATGCCACGTTGTAACATCCACTTGAAGCCACTTTCAAGAGGCTGAGGATGCGACGTTGCAACAATTTCGCTGAAATGTGACAGCTTCTGGCAACTTATGAAACAACTGGAACTAACAGCTTTGAAGTCCCATTCTAAGCATTCCAAGCCATATTTTTTATTACTGATAAAGAACCGATGACAAAAGGATTCGCATTTGGCCACAAGTCTGTCGCACTTGACATTCACTGATGTGCACTGTGGAAGCAGTTCACTGCATTTTTCTCAGAGAGGTCATGTGGCTGGAAGTCCTTTTTCTGTATATAGAAGGTTTTTGCAGGGTAACACAGATTAGCAGTGAGGGAGAGAGGCAAAATTTCGAATATCAATAGTCGAAACAGAAATCCATCGAATGAACCCTGTTGTTTTCAAATATCCACAGAATTATTCAAGGTCACAAGTTCCTTATGAAAATGACCATTTGGTTTCTCCATAGCCACGGTCGAACAGAGATTCGGGATAATACAGTATTATGCTAATTTCATAACATGATGCAACTCGGCTAGTTTGAGCCTTGCCTTGCAGGAAACCACGGAAACAACACAAATAGCTTGTCAGTATGCAAACATTTAGCCCCTACCGGCCACCAGCCTTGATAGATTAGTGCAACCGGGTAGCAGTCTCAAAGCACTACCAAAAGGCACTGAGAGAGCAAAAAAGTGTCTTTTGACGGGACGGAAAGCAAAGGTCTATCCATTTATCACAAAAACTTCTTGTAACTCACATGCTTGGACTCCCTTTGTCCAATAACGATCAACTAAAAACAAGATTTTCCAATCTCAGTCTATCAGCTTCCAAGTTGATTTCCATCCCAGAAGTTCCTTTTTTTTGTGATGCGCAAGCGGCATGCACACATAGCAGATGGCATGAAGTATCATTCCAATTGATACAGGAATCGGATTATGGGTTATTGTAGGAAAAACAAATGCCAAAATGATGATATAATTACCCTTACCACTACATGAAGCCCCAAAATTGCGCTCGTCCTTCGGAATTACATAGTCAACCAGGTGGGGAATCTTTGCAGAGGTCACCCTGACAAGGGGATACCTCACTTCGAAGCAAGTTGTTCATGCGACAAAAAAACATAGTGTTCATGCAAAAAAGAATATGTAAGTGATTGCATTTTTAAGGAATTTCGGGATATTTCCGGGAATTTTCCGGCGGGGTTTCACCACCACATTGGATTCCACCACATTAACATTCAATTGGTTATATATAGATTGTGGTGGCCGCTATTGATGCGGTTATTTTGTTTGCATCACTCTGTAGCCTAGCGTGCTCCAGCTCACAAACACAAATCTTGGCAAGATTATGCGCGATTCATGTCTCATGTTCACTTCCAATCCTTTGTTCAACAGGAGTCACATGAGCATCAGTATCATCATTGCTTATCAAATTTCACGAGGAGTTTCCATTGGCAATTGTTCATTTCACATTGGACTTGACATTTGACAATTGACAAATTGCCCTTTGAATGTCATTGCCGCCCTCAATTGCGCTTGACCTGATCGAAGAGGAGTTCAAGCCGGTCTTTTCCTCCCTTCCCGGAAACTAGTCTGCAGTTTCAATCATGCTTCGTCAGGTTCTGGTAATGGAGTGTCTAGTGGAAACGTTGTGCCTTCATGCCCATTCGGCAGCTCACTTGTTGAACATGTGCCTGTTTGAGCGCCCCAGGAAATCCCAGCAGGTCACTTGGATTGATTACTTAGTGTGGAGGCCACAACCGCTGATAAACACATCTTGGCATTTGATATTTGGTTCAATTGCTGGCCTTCTATCTTTCCCACTTGGATGCGAACATAGATTCACAGAAGTATTATATATTTATATATATATACAGTAAATAGAAAATTGTACTTATACAGCGGGGTTCCCTCCCAGAAAAATATGAACTTTAAACTTTTTTCTCCTAAATCCAACTCATAGACATCAGAAATCACCAAGAAGACCTAAAAGGGCTAGCCCGGAGCTCTATGGACGCCATTTATGTGAGGCCCTGCGCGTAGCCTAGTCAATTTTGTAGCCTGGCCAGGGCGCATTTTGTTTGTTGGGACTTAGGCAAAATGTACCACCATGGCAAGATTGAAAAATACGTTGACTTGGCATTACCCAGCCATGTGTCCGCCTTGACCGAGATAACAGCCAGAGGAAGCAGACAGACAGGACCAAAGCCGGCCCTTTCATGCTCCCAAAGCTCCCGGCAACTTCACTTGCAAGTTCAAAGCGGCTGGCTGCCAACTACTGTTGTTGGAATTTTGTTTTCCACAACTCAAGGACAACCCAAGGCTCGGATAGAGGTTTATGAAGAGTGTGATGCAGCCATCAGCTCAGTGATGGATGCTGTCACATGTTCAGTTTATGAGACGCATAGCTTAAGAAGGCACGATTTTCTAATGATGAATGCTGTTTTCTGCGCATAGCGTTCAATGGGAGCTATGACAATGACGTTTCTGTGCCAAAAGGTCTTTTTGAGCTTGATCTGCTTGAGTTGCGGCCGCACCTCCGCTGCGCTTCTCCAGGCTCAATTGGCATCCTCTCTCATTGCAGTGATGAAGTGCAGTGGTGGAGAAGGGCAGGAATTTGCCAATTGGCTCGCGCAGTTGCCGGAGTTTGCAAAGAATGCGACAGCGCAGGGTTTGAGCCAAATTTCCAATTCTTTGCAAGTCTTCTGTGACCTCATGAAGGATCACACTTCGGAGAGTATGCCGTGGAGGTTGTCCCTCTTGGGGCGTGGGCTTTCTTCTTTGTTTGAGAAGGCACAGGATGTGGTCGGTGTATGTGGTCAAATCGTGAATGGCTTGCAGCGCCTGCTATAGGGGCGGCTCCTGAGCGGCCAAGCCTTCTTCAAGGAGGCTGCTGGTGGCCGCTTCTTGCCAGAGCCTGACCAAGTGCATGGTGGCAGCTTCTTCGCCAAGTCCACCACCTTTGCTACTGACTCTTCTTGCGCGCAGGAGATGAAGGACACCTTGGTGAGCTTGATGAAGATTGTGGAGCCAAACTCAGGAGCAGCAGAAGAAGCAAAGACTGCAGTTGAGGAGAAGTATACTGCAAGCACATGATACAGCTCATGTGCTGCAGAGCCATGGGCGCGATCTTGAAGGTTCCAGAGGCAGGGAGCACGGAGGAAGCACTGGGGCGCATGGCCCAATCGCTCGAAGCCCATGCCGGCACTGCATGGGCGTCTTGGGCATCCAAGAACATTTAAATTTGTGCGGCAGTGTTTGGCAGTCTGCATTCGAAGATGACAACGGCAATTGCTGCCGCAATTGCTTCCCAACCTGAAGGGATCGATGTCTACACCAACACCCGGAATGCGCAGAAGCTCAGGGGGGTTGAGTTTGTCAAAGCCACTCACGAGGCTTGCGTGGGCCCGCTTGGAGGACATGTGTGCGTCCATGAAGTCACTGGAGAACATATGGGCTTGCGGCGCTCCAATTGACATTTGCCAGCAAGGCCAAGCTGCCACCATCAAGGCACTGGCCTCCCAGTTGAACAAAGTCAAATCCCGCGCGTCCACCATTCATGGCCTCAATTTGATCCTCCACCGATTCGCCAACAAGTCGAAGATGGAGAAGACTGCGTTGCTTCGGGAGTTCCTTGGCAGCTTTCAGGTGTGTTGGGTTGAACTTTGCCGTTGAAAGTTTTCACTTGCTTGAAGGTTTGCTGATATGTGTTGATGGTTGATCCGGTGCATGATGTCCGTGTCTTGCTTTTTTCATGTTTCTGCAAGCCTGGCACGGCACAGAGTCGAAAGTCAGGTGAGTACATGGCATGACGCAGGCCGCAAAACTTTGGCAACCCTGTGCTTTATTTCTAATGCCGTCAAACCCAAGGTACCGCAAGTCTCTCGATCGCTCTGGGGTGAGTGTGGCAAAATCCCTTCTGAGCTGGATCACAGAGGAAGCAGCCAACTAGACACAGCAGAACGGTCGTGCAGGAAAGCCAAGAGCATAGTTGGGCGACCCAGGGTCCTATGCTGGTTTGATTGACACCATTGTAAATAAGATACATCAATATAAATACGCAGACGCATGCATACAGAACATATACTACCAATTGCTAACTCTGTTATTTAGCTTCGTCAGATCAATGAGCTGTTGGTTGGTTCCGTTAAAGGTTCTTGGCTTCAGACTGCAATTTTGCAATTTACCGTTCCCGGCAACTTTTTGCAGCTTGCCATTTTATCAATTGGCACTTTGGTAAACAAATCCCATGGAAATCGCTCCGAACACAGCCAGTCGACTCTGCCATAGGCCAAGCTTCCTTCTGAGCAACAGTGGTCCACTTGTGAGCTTTGCCACCGTCGGCTGCTATTACCAAAACAAAAAGGACCAAGACCCAGCTTGGATGATTTTGACAATGTCAACCAGCTCAATTGTTCTTCAACTTTGGGGTGTCTCATTTCTTGGGAAGTTTGGCAGGCTGTTTGCTTAGCATATGGCTGCGTGAGATTCATGGTTCAGAAGAAGATGTTTTGACTTCGGGTTAGGTTCCAACAATGAAAATGACACATTGAATTACTATTGGTCGTTCATTTTCCTTCCATACTTTCCTGGAAATGTCAGTCTTGTTCTGGAGGACCTGAACCCAAGACATAGAAAAGCAGGAACTTGGCAAGGAGAAAATGGACCTGTGTTGGATGATGCGGTTTCATCTTGCGGTGTTGCCTCCGCTTTGTCATTGCTTGCACAAGCACTGATTTGTCTTTGCAGGTCGCGCCATTTAGCAGCTGGTTGAGCAAAGCTGGAAAAGTGTGCTGCACATGTTGAATTTTTATGTCTTATTTTTGCTAAGTTTATCGTGCAACTGTTTGTGGTGTAAATTGCGCTCACTTTTGCAGGCAATAGGCTTGTCACAATATGTCATGTATTATATATATATATACCGTGTATTATATACATACGGGCACGGTTAAAAAAACCCCAAGCATTTTGGGAAATAGTGGGAATGGTTATTGGGGATACCCTGTCACACAAAGCTGCTGCAAAGAATTGCTTGGACTTGGCACCTGGACTTGGGTCAAACATGGCCAGCAGACACACAACATTGATGTAAAACACACAATATGTTGGGCGTGAGATTTGCTGATCCGACCCAATATCTTGTTTTTTTTTGATTTGTTCTTATTGGTTTTTGGTTGGCAGTTGTAATTATGGCCAAAGGGGTTTGTGGCTCAAAAGTGAAAGCACCAATGCACCTGCATAAATCCTCTTCTATTAGGATGCGAAATTGATAAATGCGTGGGTTAACGCCAAGCATCACTGAGATATCTCAGAGTTCATTGTGATTGCCCACTTACCAATAATTGAGTCTGCAAGTATCACTGGGAGGTTGCTTTGTGTAGTTTGGGTCCATTTGGTTGCCTTGGCAAGGTATAGAATGCGTCATTTTTGGGTCACTGAGCTATGTTTCTTTTGGTGAGCTCGTCACGTCGTCATTGTTTAGTCCTTTTGTTTGATCATTATTTGGTCACGAATGTGGGTAAAACAATAATAAACCATTCCCCAGTCATCACCATTTTTATAGGGTGGTATGTTTACCATTCCCAGTCATGGGTGGTAAAAGTGGCATTGTTTTACATTAAGTCGTTTCATCAGGACATGTGAGATACGTCTCCCATCATCGTCCCAGGTGCATTTCATCCAGGGTTTGGCGGATGATCAGGAGCCATTCCCGACGGGGACATGCGAAGTTTCGCGTCGGAAATGCTGTGAAGGGTAAACCGAAAGAATCCATGATAAACAATATATATATATATAGCTGTAAATATATTTAAAAAATAATATACTTTAAATATTTGACTTAATACAAAACAATATAATAAAATGTAATTTAATATAATATCATAGAATAATGTAATAAAAAAATAATATGTAATATTATGTATAACGTAATTCAACTAAAAATAATAAAGAATATATAATGTAACATTGATTATATAGTATAATTATAATATAATTTAATATGGTATAGAATATTTACTCTATAATATATATATACACATTAATTTAATATAATATAATAATATTATAAAATATAATATGTTTATTTAATTTAATCTATTATAACATAATATAATAAAATCTATTACAATATTATATAGTATAATATTAGATAGTATAACCTAATATTTTATAATATAAAACAATATAACATTATATTATATAATCTAATATAATATAATCTAATATAACCTAATCTAATATAATATAATGCAATATATTATAACCTAATATTATATAATATAATATAATATACTATAATATAATATAATTTGATATAATATAATATATAATATAATATAAAATAATATTATAATATTAATTTATATATTATAATTTAACATAAGATAATATAGTCTAAATTAACATAATATAATATAACATAACATAATATCATTTATTATAACATAACATAATATAATCTAAATTAACATAATATAATATAATATAATATGATTTAGTATATTATAACATAATAAACTGTAATAAAATAATTTAATATAAATATTTTGTGTATGTAATATATGGAGTTATAATTCCTTTGTTGTTGTCTGGTTGTTTACCCACTTCGATCTTTCTCCGATGGAGGAATATTTAGCGGATCCTGCTGAAAACTGAATCCACTAGTGACGATTAGCCACATCTCCGGAGAGTTCATCCCGTAGGTAATGCACAATGAACAGTTGATTTGTACAAACAGCACCGGAGCGTAGGATAGATGTGAGATTCAGCAAAGACAGGTGTAGAGCCGATCAATCGTTGTGACATGTGGTCTGTAATGTGAATCACAAACACGTGCTACTGAATGCTGGTGTTTCCCGAAAAAGAGAGGCCTCAAAACCAGCTTGGTTTTCCGTTCCAATCGTTGGACCATGGATTTCATGAAAAATGTGTTTTCAGAATTGTGGACAGGACAAGTCATCCTTTTTACAGAACTTGTAACGCCTTTCTTGTCCAATCATCATTTACTACATTTATTTGTTCATTTCCTCCTTGTGCCGCATAGGCTATGTTCCACAGCTATCAGCGACATCCCAGGAGACCTTTCAACACGTTGTGGCGAATTTGCACGTGCCACACTCAGCAGGGCCGGACGGAATCATCTCATGACATGAGTGCCCTCACAAGTAGAACAGGATTCTGTAAAGTTTCGGGCTCTTATGTTGGGTGAAGTGTTGCCCGTCATCCCCAAAGATGACCCATACTGAAGGAACATGGGGGATATGATGCAGCCATCAGCAAGGCGAACAACAGCAAACCCAAATTGTTTGCAACTGGTTTGCAATCCAAACAATGACACAACTAGCTTGTGTTGGCAACAACGGACCCAGTTTTCAAACCTTTCTTAAGAGTAAACATGGGTAAATTGTGGGTTTCATCCGCAGAACCAGGGAAGATGGCTGCAAAATCAGTGTGAATTCAGGACCCTAAAAATGGATGTACTGAAAACATAAGACTATTTGAGGCCATATTTTGGGGGAATATTCCCTTACATAGCCCTTACATAGGAGCCTCTGACGTAGGTTCCTCAACATTGACAAAATTATTTTAGGAGTTTCGGTATTTCTTCATAGGTTTGGGTTCTTTTGCCTTTTGCGTTTCGATTGTATTCCATTGTTCGCACCGCAAGAGCTCAGTTGGCTGGATTCGGGGACACTGCATTATTCACCCTTTTTTTGAGCGTGTGGCTTACTACTGTCTCAACACGGAACCCTGTTGCTTTCAGTTCGGCAAGAGTAATTTTTTTTGTTCACAGCACAAGGTATACAATTATTCAAGAGTTCACTGAAGTGTTTAAATCAAGAACGGTCAGGTTGGATTTTATTTCCAGGCGCAAAACATGTCGCGCTTCAGATGCTCCGCTTGGGATGATATTTCCACAGCGGGGGCATTCATCCCAAACCTTTGAAATGACATGTTTGTTTGGCTGCATTCATGAACAATTTCTGACAATTCTTAAATGAGTTCTACAATCCTTAATCTTAGTTTTTGATTCTGACAATTTGTCACAAAAGATTCTATTCAATTCTACTATTGTGATGCACCCAATGATAAACCATCCCAGTCACCAAATATTTGGGGTCGTTTAAGGAAATAAAAAGGCATCTCATCTCAGTCAAGGGGATATATCGGTATATCCGATGATAAACCAGAATTGGGAACGGCTTATGGTTGAGGCTTGATGACACTATAGTGTCACTAGCTATTTCCTGGCAAGATCGCACAACAAAGACCCTGGCCAGGAGCTTGACTGCTTGAAGCCGCAGCAAGTGCCGGAGACCCCGGGGCGCGCAACGTGCGCCACGTGTATTAGGAAGTGGTTCATAGACATGTCTACGACACAGCTAGATGGAGACCTGCACAGATAGAAATGTAGATTTCTTTCAAACGTTCTTTGATTAATTATATGTAATATAAGATTATAACATATTATAACTTTCTAACTTATATGGATATTGTAACTATATATATATATGGAGATTATAACATGATTATGTAATATACATGCGTTCTCGAATATCTAAAAATCTAATAAGTCTAAGTGCAGTGCACACCCAAGTAGCATGATCTCAGCTGGACATTTTTGGTTTGCATCGAGCGTGCTGCCGTCTATGTAGAAATCCAAAGTTGGCAGGAAATTCAAATTGTTGCAATAAAAGTGTGAAAGTCCTCAACTTGACTTCCCCGGAATTCCAGAAGAAAATTGGACCGATGAATCGAAGATCTCACATGATGAAGTGAGCACAACCCGTCTGCTCGAGGTGAAAGGGACAATGCCACAGGTAACTGGAAAGGAAATGCCGGTTGAACGGGATAAATATTGGGCATGAGAAGGAATTGAAATAATGTTCGGTTCATTGGTTCAAACAGGTTTTATGTTCAACATTGTTCAACCATGTTTTGGGATGAGGATCCCCAATGACGAGCATATTTTGCCAGCCGGGTTGACGTTCGCACTTTGAGATGTTTGTTCCAGTCCAGGAGATACCCTTCGTGATGAACACTGCCAAGACAATCATTGTGAATTTGGACGCGTCTTTCGGCTGCAACAAGCTGGGTGAACCGAGTGAGGGGATGTTTTCAGGCCCTGCCGTCCACCTGAAAATGACTCCAGTCATCTTCTGTCTTGTCAGGTACTTGTTGGTTAAACCATGTTAAACCTCCGCACTCCACATCCAAACTTGCATGAACCTTGATCGGATGACCCTTTGGCCTTGATTCTGCAAAAACGTCTTTGAGACCAATGATCAAAAAACGTTCGCCAGCCGGTTATCGTTGTTTTTTTTTCCCCCTCCCCCCCGTTTTTCTCTGAAAACGATGTCATGCTTGTCAGTCTCTTATAACTTATGCAAATCATTGCACATCATGAAAAACATAATTCAGAAGACACGCCCACCTTTCTTTGCATATTTCATGTTCTCTAGAATTTTGCAGTGTGGAATCTTAGAAAACCTAGCCACACTTCGACATACCCCGCGTGGGCCAAGGAACCACGAGTTCCAGGGCTTGATGAAGGAGAAGTGCTGTAAGTGATGGGCTATGAGAAGCCCATAGGAATTGCATCCAAATGGAACTGCGATAAAATCCACCCATTTCGGTTATAATAACATTGTATGAGTATCTATAGTAGTAACATTGTATGAGTATAGCAATGTATAGCTTATGTTTGGACGAACCAAAATGCCGGAAAGGTGGAATGCCTTGAGAAACCACATGGTGTTACATGTTAGTTTCCACATTGGATGTGCAGCAGTGAACAAACATCGCAAGTAAAGATCCACATATCATTTATAGTTGATTCTCCTGTGAAACATTTGCATTTTCCAGCCGGTTGCTCGTTGGGAGGGGCCAGTTGCTAGTTGCTCGTCCTCCAGCGCAGAGGAGCTCATTTACTATGCGCCTTTCGTCACCTTGAACTCGTACCTTATCGTTACACAACTGCAGACAGCATACCGGGGGGTGAGACATCGATTAGTGAAAGTGAGATCCGAAGATTGAAACATAATCATGTTTTGAAAGCAAAAATTATCGCTAGCATTGTGTGTTTGGTGTATATAAATACATAATGTGTATATATATATATATATGCATGTATATATATACATATCATATCTTATTTATATATATATTTATACACATCTTATATATGATATATATATATATATATACAACAACTGATGTATACATGTAAACATATATATAAACAGACGCATATACACAGTATATATACACAGCATATCCACATGGCTTCTCCCAACATTGGGATCCTGTCGTATCCACTTGTGGGAGAAAACATTCCACAAGATTAGCGCACACCACTTTTTCCTATACGATGTAGTGATTCATAGTGGGCCTCGGCCGCGAATACCATTTATCAGCTATTTTGGGCAGGAATATGGTCAGTCCTGGAGCACAGATGTCCGATTCTTGAGATGTCCGTAGCGGGACTTTGCACCTAGGAGTTGATTGGGACCCTCAGGCCTCAGGCCATTTTATGAGCGGCCCAGCATCATTCTGCACCGCAGAAGGTCGCAGTCCCAAGTTGCCAGCACTTGAACTCTCTGAGCACTGCTTTCCAGGTGCCGAAATTCAAACTTAATTCCAACTGAAAGCGTCAACAGGGGTTCCATGTTGGATTTCAACAGGGGTTCCTCTAATGTCATGTGAGGTTCAAGACGCCAAATTGGATGCCTGGCCATGGTCGATTTGGGACGCAGGGGAGATGAATAACCAGCTTCAAACCAGGTACGTTGATTTATGCCAGTGTGAACAACTTCGGGGTGCAATTGCACCAATAAGTGCTTCTGTAACCATAGTATCATAGTTATAGGGGTTGTATCCGAACATCTCTTATGGTGGTCATTAGGTGCATCCCCAAGTAAAGGGTACCAAAGGTTTGAACCACACCCAAGCTTTCAGGAATGCTGCTCCTGTCCAGTGACTAGATCGTCACTTTTCTTCTGATTTCTGTGGAGCACTATGAAAATGGATACGGGATGAACATCCATTTAATTTGGGCCCCTCAGTTATCAGTTGGGTTTTAAACCTCATTGACTATAGTTATCAGTATCATAAACCCTAGTGAAATTAGAGATAATTACTGTGGATGGAAGCAATCCTGCACCAGTGGGTAACTATTGGCAACTATGAAGCACAGTAAATTACCTTACTTCGTGTGATCCCCACCATGACATTTATACATTTTGTTACTCGCAAATCTTCTGGCATTCTATCTGACATACCTTCTGGCAATCTATCTGACATTCTATCTGGCATACCTTCTGGCATTCTATCTGGCATATCTTCTGGCATATCTTCTGGGATTCTATCTGACATATCTTCTGGCATTCTATCTGGCATAGCTTCTGGCATTCTACCTGGCATATCTTCTGGCAGATGTTCTGGCATATCTTCTGACATTCCATCTGGCATTCTATCTGGCCTATCTTCTGGCATATCTTCTGGCATTCTATCTGGCCGTTGAGGTCCAGCGGTGCACACTGAGCTGGGCAGGTCCCAGGTTGAGGTCCAGCAGTGCACACTGAGCTGGGAAGGTCCCAGGTTGAGGTCCAGCGGTGCCCACTGAGCTGGGAAGGTCCCAGGTTGAGGTCCAGCGGTGCACACTGAGCTCGGACATTGGCGAAGAGCCTGGCGAAGAGTTGGCAAGGCAACAGTGGACGTGGAAGTGGAGGCAGAGGTGGTGGAGGAGATGCTGGCGGAGGAGGAGCAGGAGGAGCAGGAGGAGCAGGAGGAGGATAGCTAGCCGAGGAGGAGGAGGAGGAGGAGCAGAACAACTGTGATAAAATCTAACAATCCTCAACTGGTAGGTGGGGAATAATGAGATTCTAAACGAATAAACCATCTACCAACTGGTGCAGGATTTTGCTGCCCCATCCACAGTATGTTCACCAACTTCGCGCAAACGGATGCCCCACTGCTGGTTAATTCGTGGGGATGATCTACCTGCAGGGCTTCCATAGAAATGTTGGACTGCCAAGGTACAAAACATGAGGCATTCTCTAAGGGTTCTAGGATTCTAGGCAGATGCACCATGATATCTGATATTCAGCAATATTGTAAACCATGATAAGACACGATTTTTCTGGCTAGCTTTAATCTTCCCAAGCAATCAACAAACAATTGGGAGGAGGTGTATGCTTGGCTTTACCATATTGAACTATATATATATATATGTATATTTAGTGAATACCCTTTGGTATTTTTTCACACTTCGTGAACTGGCAGCCATGGGCAATTTAGATCATTGAGTCAGACTTCGATGATGTACCCATTGAAACATGGTGGATTTTCCGCTTCGCAATTCATGTCTGTTTCCAACGGTTCCTACCATGGCCGTTAGGACAAAATCTGGGGCACAGCTGGACCCACAGCTGCGTTGAATGCGTTTCTGCAGCTGTCGCCTCCTGGGGAGTTTGTTGTGCCTCGTCGGAGACGCGTGCCGCACCAGTGCCTGGGGAAGATTGGAAGATAGGAAGTGAACATTTTTCAATGCAGATCCCAATCAAAGTTTAAATTTGTTGATGTTTTTTTCTACTCAAAAGCAATATCTTGCCAAGAAACATCATTGGTATCTAACTCCTATATTTGGTATACTGTAATATATATATATATATATATTTATATATATATATTGGTACTTTTATATGCCTGTTTGTTTGAAACAATGAGTGTTTTTTGAGATGATGACGTGTTGTATGGATTACCATGACAAGCCACTTGTGAAGAGGGCGTCTGATTCCATCATAGGGGAATCCGAAAAGAGACGATGTCCGGCGAGAGGAGGTAATGACATGTAATGACTTGAGAATATCATCTGGTTGGTGGTTTGGAACATGGCTTTTTTGATTTTCCATATATTGGGAATTTCATCATCCCAACTGACTTTCATATTTTCAGAGGGGTAGGTATACCACCAACCAGTTATATAATCTTAACTATCCCCCAATTTCAGATGTTAATTACTTTGATATTTTTTTTGTGTGTGTTTTTGTTTTCCATGGTCCATGGTAAACCTTTGTTGAAGTTGGTTTCGCGGATTGAAGCGAAAACTTCACCTTTTCCATCTGAGGTCGAGGAAGACTTGAAGCTTCTTGGCCGTGGGGCGTGGACCTCCTGGTGCTGGTCTGTCCATGTCTGTCCTATGGTGTGCTAGCCCAAAATCATCCAGTCGTCATGGATGACCATGACTTAGCATTGAAACCTATGGTGACTTGGGGATCCGCCATGACTTAAGAAACCCAGATACTTTCTGAGAAGATACTTAACCCCCCTATATTTCATATCCCAGTCATATACTCCCTCAGAAGGTACAGCTGGATCCATCAGCTTGCTCGGGCCCTGGCACCTGTAGATCTGATCGTGCCATTTTTTTTTTGGGTCAAACAAATCACACTTTTTTGGTGATATAACACAAGATATTTCCAATTGTACCTGGTAATTTCACAATCCCATACAAGCCCCATCAATCCCCCATTTATAGATAAACAATGATAAACATTTCATGTTCTGTTCACTTGAACTAATTGGTTATCCACAAGTGGTTTTAATTTAAACAAAACTAATTTAATTATAAAGAAAAAAATGATAAACCATTTCGATGTCGAAGTGTTTGAATCTCCTTCAGAATGCCGAGGTTCCATGGCTATTCCCAGCACATCTACGTGCGGCGAGCACAGGTGACAGTGCCTCATAGCTATTTTCTGCAGGTCGCCATGGAAGCCATGCGGTCGCCTTAAGTCACCAGTGGACGACTATGCTGAAACACACTGGGGCCGTTGCGGGCCCACGGGCCCAGGATAGCTCGCGAAAAGTTGGTTACATGTAGAAAGCCACGATTTGTTTATGACCACTATAGTTAATTTCATGGTGAAAAACTAAAACAACCAACTTGTAACTGGGGGTACCCACATCGTATGCAAAAAACAAATCAGAAATTGAGCTGAACCAAGAATCTTTAATATGCAAAAGAAGCCTAGTAGGCTCACGCATTTGTACATGGCATGTTTACCCTATATCATGCTTTTCAACCACTAAGCGGATACGCTGTGTTTTTTGCCACTCGTTTTTGCGTTGGTCTAGTTTCACCCATCCACGTGTAGATATATTTACATGGACCTTACTTAGCCATACCTAGCCTAGCTTTAAACAAACTTAGTGCTATCTAGGGGCTCCGCCTGTGGTTTATGTGCATTCTTAGTCATTCCCATTGTCAATAGACACCTTCTTTGAAACCATGGTGGTATGTATTGGATTTGTTCATGCTGGGTATTCCATACGGAGGCGTGTCAGAGGTATCTGGGATATTCTGGGATTACTAAGGGACAAACAAGTCCAGTACTTGATGGTTCTTTGGAAAATGTGGCAGGCCCAAACATGTTTGTCGTTTACACCGTAAGATAATGGTCCGCTACAATATTCACCAACAACGACATATATATATAATTATATATATATACCTGCAAAAGACAGGGTTTTAAGCATCACCAATTGCGTCCTCTGCGCATGGTTTTTGGGTCCAAGACAGTACATCAGAGTGCAAGATAGTGCAAGCATGGCAACTGGAAACTTCTGAGTGGATCATGTTTGTTTTCCAAAGGCCCAAAGGCGTCCATTTTGGTGATCGGGCCCCGAGACCTTGAGCATGCGCAGAGGAAAGATGGCACCTGAAGGATCCGAGGTTGACAGATTTTCACGAAGTCCCCGGGAAAGTCAGCATTTTGAATAGAAACATGACCTGCAGCAAATTATTTCAAGTCAATCTGCTAGATTTGTTCAATGTGGGGCCATCAACGTGGGATAGGTCAGTTGATTTATAAGATTTTACAACTAACTATATCTGTTGGACTTCTGTCTTGTAGGCGGGGTCGGGACCACGCTGTTTGTTTGTTTGTTTGTTTGTGTGTGTACACGACCTTTACCAAACGGAATGGGCCCTTGAGTCCACATGCAGCTCGTGGGTTTGTGTCATGGGTCAAGCACATGATGAACTACAATATATAACCCTTACTCTCCTGTAAACTCTAACATAACTTTGGAAAGAGGACCATTTGTAGATGATTTACCTATTGATAATGTGGACTTCCATAGCCATGTTAGTTTACCGGAGGGTTTGCAGTGAAACCATGATGAAAAACAGCCTCAGAAAACTTAAGAAGTACAGCTGGCTGCATGAATTTTCCAGATGCTCCATGCTACAGTTCGATGCTTGCCTGCATTTCCCCTCAAGAGAATCTTTTGATCTCCAATGTTGGGGGTCATCCCACGAAACGAAACGGGTTAGTAATCGGAAACGTCATGGTAAAACTAATTCCACAAAGACTCACCACTCACAATTTCTCTTTCTGTGACACTCCGCGCACTTGAAAGAGAACATTAAAGAAATCTAGATAGTCCTCACAGTCCACCTTAAAAGAACATGGTGGAATTGATTAGGGCACTCCCAATGGTGGTGACCGCCGTTCCCACACCCCATTGACCCGGCAGTTGACGCTGCAGCAGAGTCGGAAAGACCTCGAAGAGGCAGAGGTGCCGAAAGTCGTGTCCACCGGGACATGGGGGGGTTTCCCTGTGAGCTCCCCGAGGGTAAACTAACAGTTCGATGTGGAAAATCAACCATGAATGTAGACGATTTTCCTGGGGGTTCCTCATGGGTTCTCTACATCTATGTCAGTTTACCCTAGGGTAACCATTAAACATAGGAATATACCAGACCAGTAATATTGTATATAACACCATCAAACTGAGATTTTGCAGAGTTTTCGGGCCAAAAGATTGGGATTTAAGTTGATTCACAGGATTGACGGTGGTTTATGCAGGAATCTAACATGGGATTTAAGCATCTAACATAGGAATCTACATCAATCCAACCACAAATGGGGGTTAGAGCAGCCAAAATGGTGGGGGTTGTCAGGAAAATGACATGGGCTTTAAGCCACTAACATGGGATAATATATAGAAATAATAAAACAAGAGACGCCTGGCTGGTGAGAACACAGAATATATGGAACCCATATTCATGGTCATATCAATCATATCATGTCATATCCAAGTTTGAAAAACATGTGATGTCCATGTAAAATGTAGTCAGTGTTTCCTAATGTTTGAGCGAATTCGAGTGTTGAACGGTTCATTGCTTTTCCTGTATCAGGGTCTGTTCAAAACTGGGATGATCCCTTAAATGTTCTGACTAGATGGGAAGAATGACAATAATCACGGGGGTTACCTTGTGTCAGTCAAACCCGAAGATTAATGAACAGAGCCAACCAGATTAAAGCTTGGCAGAAAGAGGTGATGAGCTTTGAATGTGAGAAGAAGATGACAAAGGGTGAGCTCACCATCACTCCAGAGCGTGTGTATCTCACATGCCAAGGGCCTTGGAAGACTAATGGAAAAGATATGCTATCAGCACCAGCGAAAGACTTTTCAGCTCTTGACATGCCAGCTTCTTCTTCGGCAAGCGCTTCAACGATGACCTACACTGCTATTATGGAGCAGATTGCCAACATTGGCACGCAGATGAAGAACATGACCAACCTGAAGAAGAGTTTAACAGAGCAGAGCCGAGAAGTGCCAATCAGCCTCTACCTTGACCCCACTTGTATCTTTGCAGCTGCCTCGGCAAGTCTTGACTGCTGTGCACGTCGCCGGATTCCATGCCTTTATCCAATTTTATCCCTAGGTCACAGAAATTCATGCTGTCTACGTGGTGATTGCTGACACATTCCTGCATATTCCTGTCAGCTGTGCATATCCTCATCATTTTGTGGACACTTTGCCATATCCGTCTATGATGGCCTCATATGTGGCATGAGTTGCTGCTTGTGTCCAATCAGAATCACCCAAATGTGTGTTCCCTGTTAGTACGGCTATTTCGGGTGTGTATACCCTTGACCCCATTTTCACACACACACACACCCAAATATGATCTTGGTGGTAGATCCCATTCAATCCCATTCAATCAAAGTAAACCTTCATAAAGCCCCGTGAATTTCCCATTATATTCCCACTATATATCCCCATATCCCACGATATAACCACTATACCAGCATTGCTGTTGCTGAAATCTCCACTATTTGAGACTTCAATCCCCATTTTTCTTGTATTCCCGTTGAGTTCGCAGGATATTCCCATCCATTACCCCATATTTTCCATGGATCTCCCTGTATTTTCTCAAGATTGTCCCTGGATTTTGCCACTGCTACAGTGCTACAGTTAAGGCCCTTTACCAGTTATAAGTGGTTATAACGTGTTACTTCTATGGGATTACACATTGCATAAATGGGGTTATAACTTTCTTATAAGTGGAATTTCGGGCCATAACTGCGGGGGATTTCCCAGCAGCCACCAGTCACGTGCAGCACACACCACGCCGCAGGACGTGCTCTACGACAACCACGAGGTGGTCAGTCGCGCGGAGCGTTACTATCTGCCGGCGCAGGCTGCGATCCAGGCAGGGCCACAGTGCTATGGAGGGGATAAAGCAACAATGGAGATGGGGAATGAAGCATCAAATACACTATAATTATACATATATATATATATATATATCTCTATATATATATAAATTATACACACACATTCACTTATATATACAGTATATATATATATAGATAGATAGATAGATGGATAGATAGATAGATCAATAAATAAATAGCTAAATAGATAGAGATATATAGATAAATTAGAGATCGATACAGACCAACATATATATATATATATATAGATGGATGGATAGGAATAGATAGATGGATAGAGAGGGAGATAGGGATATAGATAGACAGATAGATAGATAGAAAGATAGGTAGATAGATAGAAAGATAGATAAATAGATAGATAGATAGATAGATGGATAGATGGAGAGATGGAGAGATGGAGAGATGGAGAGATGGATAGGTGGATAGATGGATAGATGGATAGATGGATAGATGGATGGATAGATAGATAGATAGATGGATAGATAAATAGATAGGTAGGTAGGTAGGTAGATAGACAGGTAGATAGGTAGGTAGATAGATAGATGATATTGTGGATAATTATGGTGGATATGGTGGATATGTTTTTTTGATACCTAGGTTCAGGATTGATTTGCGTTGCTGTTCATGTCGAGACTACATATTCAGTTGTTTGAAAGGTACTTAAGATGAGTTCTGAGCAAGAACATTTGCGATATCAGCCAACGAGTCTTAGTGAGGATGGCAACTTGCTGGGCTAAAGCGAGTGGTGAATGGGGACACGTCAATAGTATGTGCTTGGATATGCAACCTAGGCAAGTTTGGAGTTGAAACGTTTAAGATGGTGATATCACTCGCACATGATGGATAAACCTTGATGATTTGTAAGTGCTTACTGTCTGCGACAGTATTTGTTGTAGCTATATATACTGAGAAATACCATATCCTGCCTGAACTTATTTTGCATGGTAGTTGGCAATCCTTGAGTGTGGGAAGTGGAGGTTCATTGTGGGAATCCAATCTTATGACCAAGACATCAATATGATGGGTGGAGGCTATGTTTGAAGAAACCTGAATGGGTAGATAGACCCAATGATGACAGGATGTGCGGTCAACAACCATTATTTGCTTCCCCCTTTTGTATATATGTGATAGCCCCAACGGCATGCTACAAGCAGCCACCTCAACGTCACATATGCTCCGTAAACGTGTGAAATCGGCAAAAAAATCCTTTCTTGGGGGAACCTGAAAAACACGAAAAACCAGGTCCCAGAAATATCCAGGCATGTCTTTACAGCTTGTCAATGGGGGTACAACACTCTGTGGGTCCAAATGCTTTCAGTGAAGGTATATACTTAACCTATCTTAACCTCTTATTAATATCCCAAATACGTTCTGAGAAGGGACTTGGATAGTTGCATTTGCGTTTTTCTCCTGCCACTTAGGGAGTGATTGAAATGCCTACTGTAGACCTTGCATCAGGGACTTGCTTGCTTGTCAGATAAACATGACTACACAAAAGAGCCACCTCCACAATTTTGATATACAATGATATCCATTTCTGTACATTGATCATGTTACTATAAATTTGCTATGTATCATCCTGGAGACTAGTCACGTAAATTCGCAAAAGCTCCTCCAGTTTCACGCTGCCAGGGCTGGGAAGCAGAGAGACATGAGCAGGACCTGCGCTTCGATGGCATCCCGGCCCGTCCGGCATCCCAATGCCTCCCCTCAACGCCAAAAAGGGATTGGTTTGTAAAGCAAAAAAATGTAAATATCTCAACATATACACTTTGATACACTTTATATTGTTATTTACAGTTAATTTGCTTTATTGTAATTAACAACAATTAAGGATTTGTACAGTTAATGTAAACCATATTGACTATAATAAACCCTCAATGACTTGTTATTTCCGGGCACCGTCGACTGCACCGAGATGTTTTGCACCAATCCACCGGCAGCCGGCTGCATTTCTCAGCGGGCCGCGGGTCATAGGTCACAAGCTATGATATAAACTCCTGGTGTGGACAAACCTCCATAGAAATCCCAATTATTTTGGTGACCCATCCCTCTCTTACATATATATATATATATGTATGTATGTATATATATATATATACATACAGTAATAAACATGTACTTATGACTGAATGACTGAATCTAACTCTGTTCATCCCAAACAATTCACAGATTTACAAGAGTTAATCCTTTCTTGGGTTGACCCACAATTTGTAGACTCCACTGAGCCAAGGCGCTTTAGTTCTCCGTTTCACAGATAGCATGGCAGTTGGTTTTCGACTGATGTTGGTCAGTCTTGGCCTTATTTGCCTCAGTTTCTCCCTGCAGGGCTGTGGTCCCACCCCAAAGCCTGCCCCAGCTGCGAAGCCTCGGGCGCCTATAGAAGTTCTGGGGGCGCCTTGCAACGTGGTGACGGCGGAGGGCTGCAATCCCATTCAGTTGCCATTGGTGTACCTTGATGGATGGGATGATGGGCGGGTTTTGTTGTTCATCATTTTTAGCACATCTCAATATGCGATAAGTTGAGTGGGATTACAACTACCATAACTATCCATAACTAGGATTGGCTGAGGTTTCAACACATTATCGTCCAGTTGTGGCTCATGGGTGGGGCACATCTTTGATTAAACAAACATAAAGTATATACCACGATGTTATATAAGTGTCTTTTTGGGCTAAGCACGGCATGACCAAGAACACTGCACTCCTCCTAAAACTGGGCCTATGATGGAAAGCATCCAGGAGACATCCTGCCAAACACTTGGCTATAAGCAAGGAACTCAAATGGTGACCCAAGCAAGGAAGAAGGTGTTAGGAGGCACTGGCGGATGGTAGAAAAATAAAGGATGACTCATACACTGTTCACCATTTTGACGGAGGATAATTTCATATCCCGCCATTTTAACGTATTTCTTCCAGACAATGTTGACTCTAAATATGGTGCGACTTAGTGACTTAGTGAATATGGGTAAGTTCTCGAGTTGGAAACACCTATGTTCCATAACTGTGTTAGATTACAAGGGGGTAACCAAGTAACCATAGCCATAGCCATATAACCATAGTCCAAAGCATTTGAAACCTCCATTCCGCCACAGGCCCACAGCCTACAATCCCCAATGCTCGAGCGAAAGCCACTCGCCCAACCTTTGGTAAAAGAATTGTAAGGTACTTTGGTGGGGTATAAATATAGGATTAAATTGGATATTCTACAGTATGTGTGTTTAGTTTAATGGGATATGTTACGTTTTTGATGGGGATGCGAGATATAACCAACAAGTATGATATTCGGAGTAAACCAGTCTTTGGCTGAACATGAGGACTTCTCATTAAGTAAATACAGCAGATACAGATACACAGCAACGAGGACTGCTTTTTGCACCTACAAGCCTTTGGTCACATATGGTTGTGGGCCAGCACTACCCACCCAAAGTCCGGTTGACCATCAGTCAATACTGCCTTGACTTCTGGAGGCAGTGGTAACGGTTTGTAGAATGGGTGTAGACTATAGTATATGATATACAATAATTATATTATATATATATATACATATACATGATTGTACATGTATACAAGCCACCTTGAGAAATCTCACCAGTCCCAACCATTTACTGTATGATGTCGAGATCATCTATAGAGCTCAGGCACAGTTGTTCACCATTTTGAACCAGTCTCAGTTGTGTGTTTCTATGTGTTTCTTCCCATGATGGCCTATGTTATTTTTGGCAGATAAAGTCCAGAAATTATGCTTATTTCCTCCCACGATTCCTGGAATGATTCTACAAGTCACACAGACTTTAGACATCTTTAGACTGGTGCTTCTAAAGAATCTGTCAACCCCGAAACCCCAACCAGTTGGAACGTCGGCATCAGAGCCATTCCCAAGTTCCTCACCAACCCTGACCCTACTCCCAGAATATATTGAATACAAGTCTCTGTATCTATAACTGTATACAAGCAACCCGTTTTTGCCAGCAGAAATCCACCACCACTTTTTGGGATTTGTCCAGAAATAGGCTGCGTACCCCCCAAACGTATGGCAATTCTTGATCGAGAAACCGATCTTCCAATCCTTGGCAGACCCCCCTTGGTGGTTCACCTGGGGTTATAACCTTAAGTATGACTGGATCCCACTCACCCTGATAACAAAGGACTTTTACATGTTTACTATGTTTTACATTGTACTACAGATTACTACAGGAACCGGGGTGAATCACCAAGCAATGAGTTTCCTCAATTTACCGGTATCATTGGTGGTTGCTCAGCATCCCTCAACTTTATCGAGGTGCTAGAGCTTAGGAAGCCTTTGGTGATTGTCCCGTGTCAATAAATGAGTGATAGCATCGCTTTGTCCCATATGCATTGAATGACCAAGAATTCTGAAATCGCACGAGGTTCAAAACCACGTATATACAACATTTGGTTACATTTGGACTTCTTCCACGGATTTGAAGAGATCAGTCCCCACTTCGCTTCGTTAAACCCAATAGCTCCATATCTTGGTCAAATCCCCATGTTTCAATGGATTGGTTTAAGGGAAAATCTTAACTGGAAACCATCGATTTTCCCATGAAATAATCATGGAGCTTAAACCAGTTATATGAAAATGTTCCTTAAACCAATTCACTGAATATCATTGAATGTTTCCCGCTGAGGTTCCAAGTGCTGGTTCCATCTTCAGCCGGAGGACACCGCTTCCCTGGTCTACGATGAGACTGAGGAGCGATCGGAAGACATTGCGGCAGAGTTGGCGGAGAACATTCAGCAGGCAGTGGAGGGGCTACAGGTGAATGTTTGGCTTTAGGGCTTTACATCATGGTTAACAAGAGGAATCATCCCAAAATGGCCCAAGATTTCAGGTTACTGTAGTGAATTACTATAATTTGCCCAATAAATTGTCTTTATGATTCTTTGTTTCTGGTTGAAAATACCTAAAATATCTTATATATATATAATCTGCACATGTATATCAATATATATATATATTGATATATATATATATATATTTATTACAATACATATACATGTACACATGTTTGAAGCTATGTATATGCATCCATGTTCTTTGTACTCAAATATAGTTTCATGATGTTTGATGTTTGAACCATTTTGATATATCTTGGAAGGCAGGTCGGAAAAAAACAAAAACAAAAACAAGCACGGGAATTTGGTCAACGGAAATCAGAATCTAGGCCATGAGCATGTATATTTTCTTGGAGCGGACCTGTCGTTTCGTTTTTAAGGGGCAGCTGGATCTGATTGCCATCCTTTCGCCAGATGTTTGAAATGTTCCGATCCCACCATCCACAGGTTTCCAGGTCAAACACCTGGGACTTTGGGATTGCAGGCGTTGCAACTTAGCTTCAACCGGCCATACCTTGGCGGTAGCGTGCACCATGAAAATCTGGGGACCTCGTGACGAATATGCATTAACACATTGATCATCCTAGTTCTTAGCCACCAAGCACCAAAGAAAATATGCGGATATAGCGGGATATAGCCAGCAAAAAAGCTATCACAGGACACCTTTGGTTTAACTGACTGGTGAAGGGTACGTATTTATACGTGAAAACATTAGGTTGAAGGAACAACATATGGGGACTCAACCATCAAACATCTGGAAGAAATCGACTGATGATAGGTAGTTTAGTGTGCCTTAATCTTCTGTCATAAATGGGAATATAGCATGATACCGTGTATTCCCACAAAATGGCTGGTTTCCCCATTAAAACCCCATTAGGTCTAGTGAAATCATACCGCAACCAGCAATCCTTGAGAGTCCTAAGTAACTTAGTAAGCAACGGCCAGTTTGAGCTCTGGCTGGGGGTATTGGATCATCCAATCCAGGCAATGGAAACATCCATGGCACCAAACTTGACATGGACCAGAAAGCAACCCGGTTTTTTCGGTGATTTTCCCGATACCATGAATAGTTCCATGATTTTGTTGCGGACTCCAACATGAAAAGCAGGGATTGTCATGTTTGTTTTTCAAGGACACAACGTATGTTTGATCACTACATTTGGATCATGTCAAATCACCGTCTCCGAATCTTTTCCCATCTCTCATGGCCAATGCACCGCTGCCCTCTCTCGGGGCGATACCCCACCGGTCCGGTTAGAGACTTAAGCCCGTTCGGCAAGACAAGCATGTTTAAATCGTTATACAATGATCATTTGAGGTACTCAATACAAATATATATACAAATATACATATATATGATATTAATTATATATATATATGCATGTACCAGTAGTACCGCACAAGGCGGTGGCGGAAGTTTCAAAAATAGGAAACCTATAGGAGAGGTTGGTTGTTGTGAATCACGGATGGCAGAGCGAAGCCACTGATGGACCGAAAGGTGATTGATGTCTCCTCTCTTTCTCTCTCTTTCTCTGACTATCTACCTACCTACCTACCTATCTGTCTACCTGTGTATCTATCGATCTATCTAATCTATCTATCTATCTACCTATCTTTCTATCTATCTATCTAACTATCTATCTATCTATCTCTCTCTCTCTCTCTTTCATCTGTCTATCAGTCTAGCTGTCTACCTGTCTATCTGTGGATCTATCTATCTATCTGTCTCTCTCTCTCTCTCTCTCTCTCGCATTCATCTGTCTATCTGTCTAGCTGTCTACCTGTCTATCTGTAACCCTATCTATCTATCTGTCTATCTGTCTCCCTGTCTATCTGTGGTGCAGTGTCATTCAGTGTAATGTAG